ATTACCTCATGACTGCCAGTAGAGCCTGCTTTTGACTGTGCAACTCAACCATCTGAGAATGATGTTTCAGTTTTTGTATCACCAAACACAGAACCATAGTCTCCCTTGTTTAACATCAGCCACACTCTTTCCTTTTCAAGACGATCATTAAAGGGCTGTTCAACGTTCTCCTGTCGTTTAGCAATAACTTCACAAATGTCAGTTGTGAGTACTGTACAAGCATCCATTCGTTTGACAATATCTGGTGTCATGGATTGGTTGCGGTGAATGGGTTCATAATGCTGTTGTACTGCAGCGTGCTTATCTCTTATGTCATGACTGGCACAATTTAACTCCTCAGGTGAGCAGAAGGTCTTTAGTTTTGCTCTGATTTCTTTAGCCGTCTTCTTCCAGGTATCATAAGCCTGGTTGAATCCCTTTTCATTTTTCTTTGCTTCATGTTCCTGCATTTCTTTTCCCTTTTCGGTTAAATGCCTTTCCCGTTTGCTAGATCTCACTTCTTGTGGCTCTGAGTTGTCAGCTTCTTCAGCAGGTTTTAACATTTTTACTGAAATGTGTATGTTGCTCTTAGTGAAAACGTCTACTTAAATTTAAGTGAGGGTTACTTTAACTTTAAGTTAATTTTGGCAACAATGCTCACATCAGACATTTACACCATGTTTATCTGTTCAGATGTTCACCGATACATTTTACAAAATGTTACTCTAAACACTACTGACGTACTATGATGTTGTTTTAAGAAGAATAAACCCATCCACTTTGGGGTTTTTTAATTACTTAGTATGATGAACTACAACTTAAAGCGCTTTGGACTCCTTACTCTGAGAGGCGCTATACAAGTGCAGGTCATTTATCATTTATCAAAGGCAAATAACTGTGAATTATTGTGCAGATACATTTAATTTCTTATCAGTGAAGTTCTACTGTCCATAATATCTGCACCTTTGTAAAGCCACCGACCAGAGTTTAGAGTAGAAGTAGGATAAAATGATGAGCTTGACTGGCGCAGAAACCTCACGTGACTGACTCGTGGACCCAACTGACACTGGCTGCACTCATCTGGCATGGGGCTGGCAGGTAGCCTTCACTCAGCGTCCGAGTTTTCACTGTAGCAGTCCCCCGGATGAGGGAAGAAATAAGAGAGCCTCGACGGGTGCAGTGTTTTACTTGACTGATTTGGAATCAAGCAATGCTGTAAGTACACTAAAAACTAAAAAGGGGAACACAAAATACATTCATTCGGATGTTCATTCTTAATACAGTTTTAACTCCGACATTAATCAAATAAAGTACAAAACATCAAAATATCAGCTTAATAAACAATTACAGCTCAAAACATGTACCTCATGTTAATTTCCATCTGTCTGGCATGCGTCGTGTGAGCTTCAACAGGAGCTGCCATGAGGCACATGTGCGCTACAAGTCGTTGTCTTTCCGGTTTGAGCTGGAACTACAACTCGTCACTGACTAGGCAACAGAGCCCCCAGCTGGGCATTACGTGTAACTGCACAGACATGCATTAACAAAGAAAAAACGGACCTTTACACAAGTAAACACAAAATGCAGTTTTGAAATGATGATTTTTATTATTTAGGGAGAGAACAAAATCCAAACCTACATTGCCCATCATACCAAGATCCAAAGAAACTCAAGAACAAATGAGAACAAAAGTAACTGAGATCTATCAGTCTGGTAAAGGTTATAAAGCCATTTCTAAAGCTTTGGGACTCCAGCGAACTACAGTGAGAGCCATTATCCACAAATGGCAACAACATGGAACAGTGGTGAACCTTCCCAGGAGTGGGCGGCCGACCAAAATTACCCCAGAGACAACTCATCCGAGAGGTCAGAAAAGACCCCAGGACAACTTCTAAAGAACTGCAGGCATCACTTGCCTCAATTAAGGTCAGTGTTCACGACTCCACCATAAGAAAGAGACTGGGCAAAAATGGCCTGCATGGCAGATTTCCAAGACGCAAACCACTGTTAAGCAAAAAGAACATTAGGGCTCGTCTTAATTTTGCTCAGAAACATCTCAATGATTGCCGAGACTTTTGGGAAAATACCTTGTGGACTGATGAGACAAAAGTTGAACTTTTTGGAAGGCAAATGTCCCGTTACATCTGGCGTAGAAGTAACACAGCATTTAAGACAAAGAACATCATACCAACAGTAAAATATGGTGGTGGTAGTGTGATGGTCTGGGGTTGTTTTGCTGCTTAGGAACTGGAAGGCTTGCTGTGATAAATGGAACCATGAATTCTACTGTCTACCAAAACTTCCTGAAGGAGAATGTCCGGCCATCTGTTCGTCAACTAAAGCTGAAGCGATCTTGGGTGCTGCAGCAGGACAATGACCCAAAACACACCAGCAAATCCACCTCTGAATGGCTGAAGAACAACAAAATGAAGACTTTGGAGTGGCCTAGTCAAAGTCCAGACCTAAATCCTATTGAGATGCTATGGCATGACCTTAAAAAGGCGTTTCATGCTAGAAAACCCTCAAATAAAGCTGAATTATTGTAGCAAGTTATCGCAAACACTTTATTGCAGTTATTGCTGCTAAGGGAGGCCCAACCAGTTATTAGGTTCAGGGGGCAATTACTTTTTCACACCGGGCAATGTAGGTTTTGATTTTGTTCTCTCCCTAAATAATAAAAACCACAATTTCAAAACTGAATTTGTGTTTACTTGTGTTATCTTTGACTAATGGTTAAATGTGTTTGATGATCAGAAACATTTTGTGTGACAAACATGCAAAAGAATAAGAAATCAGGAAGGGGCAAATAGTTTTTCACACCACTGTATGCATGAGTAATGAGTGGAGGACCCAAAGACGTGTGGTGGTTCAGTGGGACCGACAACCGGATGGACCAATGGTTGCTTTGGTCTGAAACGTGTTATTGGTGGAGATATTCAGGCAAATGCGAGAGAACCACTTTAATCATTTTTTTTCTCTCCACAATATATTCATAACTATACTATGTTAGAACATTGTTAAGAGGCATGAAAAAAATGTTGTATGATAATAATATATTCTCCAGATTTGACATAGCAGCTTTAAGAATCAGCAGAAATGGTTAGATTTTATCTTCAGGAGCTCAGAATGTGACCATCATCTAACAGACTGCTTGTTAAACCACCACCGTACAGGAGTAGGTTTTCTGATGGAGTACTTGTTCAAAGTGGCGCCATTCCAGCGTTAAAACCACCCAATGGAGAGGCCAGAGTAGTGAGTATACAGAAATGCTAGTTGCTAGCAAAATAATTATAAAGTTCACGGCCTCACTGCCATTATGCCTTCCATTCTGATGTGTGTGTGTGTGTGTGTGTGTGTGTGTGTGTGTGTGTGTGTGTGTGTGTGTGTGTGTGTGTTTTATGCCGGTTCGCCAACAATGTGTGCATCTGTGTTTACAGAAGCAGATGTCTTTGGAGCTGCCTTGCACATTTCCCAGGTCTAAAATGCTGCCTGTGATTCCTTTATGTTAATAATTATTTTCACTCACAGTCAGTCTGGTTATTACAAATCAGCAGGCTGAATTGGGATCACTACTGAGTGATTTTAAGGACCTTTTTACTCATGCTTGTTGGATCCATTTATTTAGTGTTTTATGCTAAGCTAAAGGGAAAGGAGTACAGCCAGGTCAGGACAATGACTGGGCTGGTTAAAAATTGCTTTTACCCATTTAAGCATTGCTGTACATCATGTTTTTCTCTGGCATCTTTGATCCAGATCATCAGAGCAGGTGGTTTGGATCCCTTGGGGATCCCTTTAGTTGCAGTAATAATGATGTTTTACTGGGAAGTCTTTCTGAGATACAGAATAGAGCTCAGTATGGGTTTCCTCTTAGTGTCTGTGTGTAATTTTATCATGTTTATGCTCACAACTGTTTTTCAACTATCATCATGTGGCTATACGGCTCTTCTGCACTGGGATATGAAACAGGTTTTTGTCAGGGTCTTGGGTCCAGTCCTGCTCATTCTCACCTTTATGTTTCTTTTTTCCTTTGAGTCTACAGGATGGCCTCTGTTAGTGTTTTATGCTAAGCTAAAGTGAAAGGAGTACTCTGGCACTGCGTCAAAGGGACTGTGGAAAAGATTAAATAACCTTGGTGGAAATAGCTCCTTCGACACATTACACCTACATCTAAAATTGGTTTAACTGAGATCTAATTTAACACATTAAAAAAACTATTTATGCACTTATTTTTCTGTTCAGCAATCTTAATTCTTTGATTTTCAGGCAAAATCTCACATGAAATAGTAAAACATCTTTTCAGACTGCCGGTTTTCCTCGTGGAAACTCAGAATAAATCTCTCATTTGAATAAAGTACTTAGTGACACATTGTTTCTCCATCACATTTAGGTTTCACCATACAGGAAAATGGCATTGAAATATTACAGTTTAAAATTTTCATTAATCAGCTATAAAAGGACTCTGAGACCGTTAATCTAAAGAGCCATTTTCCTGCAGTCCACATGAATAAAACTTGTTTAGAGCTGCAACTGTCACAAGCTGTTTATTTGCTCATTTATAGTTTTCTATTATAAGAGATTTGGTCATTTTGAAAAAACATCATCTTGCTTCTATAAGTCAGTATTAAAATTAAGAAAAATAAAACCATTAAACTCTCAAAATGTACATTTATTTTTCAGATGAGTGCTGATTTTCATTGAAAATTACGTTAAAAAAATAAAAATAAATAAATAAACAAATAAACCTAAACGGAAAAAAAGATATTCCTGGTACTTTCATTTTGTTGTGGAAATTCTGTTCAAATATTACATGAAAAAAAAAACAAATCTGGGTAATATAGCTGCATCTTTTTATTTTCTCTATTTATAAAAGCACAAGTTGATTGTTGGTTTGTAGAATTTCTAGCCAAACTTATAAAGAGCCATAGTGGCTCCAGAGCCACAGGTTGCAGACCCCTGAGCTGTAAGATACGGTTTATATTTCTAACTTGTCTTTAGCATTTAAAGGGTGATTAGGACACTCAGAGTATATATACTTAAGTCACTCAGCCGACCTCCATATTTTGAGTTTACTGTTCTTGTGACATCTCATGAATATCAGATTATAAATGTATTAAACTGCCAGTTATATCACATTTGTGTTCAACTAAAAAGTGACCAATGGCAATGTGTTTGTCACTTGTCATGATACAATGGCATCAGAAGAGCCTGGCTTCAATATCTGAAGAGTGAAGATGAATTTAACAGATTTCCTAAACCAAGGGTAAAACAGGGCGTAGATGAGAGGGTTCAGAACGGAATTCAAATAGAACAAAACAAAAGCTATAGACGAGGCACCTAACTGAGTCCCCTGACCTGTAAGTGTGAGACAGAAATATGGACAGAGACATATTAGAAATGCAACGCCAACAGCTCCTAGCGTCCGAGCTGACTTCAGCTCAGATTTCCTAACAGTCACAGTGACTGAACCCTGAACTGTGATGACTGTAACACGAGAGCGCATGGCACGAATCTGAGACACCGCCACCACAAACACTCTCACATACAGAACTACGATGATGGTGACAGGACCAATGAAGAAGAACAAAATATCTATAAAACCAGCAATTTTATCAAAGACAACAACGCACTCCCCTAAGCAGGAGTTATACTTACCGACTTGTCCTAGGTTCTCCTTCATCACTATAAAAACACAGAGGAAGGAGAAGAGCCAACACAACAAAACACACACACAAACCCGCCTATGAGTGACTTTGGTAGGGTACTGGAACGGGTCACAGACCGCCACGTAACAGTCAATAGATATAAGCACAATGGTCTCCACTGAAGCAGATGTAATAATATAATCAAAAAAATTATACAAAATACACACAAGGTCCCCCAGATACCAGCAGCCATCAATGAGCAGGAGCTGGAAGATCATAAGGAAACCAACAAAAAAGTCTGAGACGGCCAGAGAGAGGAGGAGGAAGTTGGTGGGTGTGTGCAGCTGCCTGGTGGAAAAGAGCATCAGTATTATAAATAAACAGTGTTTCATTAGGTAATGTACACCTTTACTTACTTGAAGTGTGAGATGGAGATGATGACCAGCATGTTAAGTGTAACTGTAAGCAGAGAGATGGAGGACAACGTAACATACATGAGCATGGAGATGGAGGAGGGGTTCACGTTCTTCCTACAGGAAGAGTTCGGTAGCTGTGGGAAACAGAGCTCAGCTTCCTCAGAGCTTCTCATCATACGAAACAGGAAGCTGTTGAGTCCTGCCGGCTCTCTGAAGCTCAGGTCCTACGACTAAGCTTTTTATCTCTCTCTCTCTCTCTCTCTCTCTCTCTCTCTCTCTCTCTCTCTCTCTCTCTCTCTCTCTCTCTCTCTCTCTCTCTCTCTCTCTCTCTCTCTCTCTCTCTCTCTCTCTCTCTCTCTCTCTCTCTCTCTCTCTCTCTCTCTCTCTCTCATACAGCTGCAGAGTGGTAGACTGCAAATGTATGCTTCTGCTGTTTTTTGAGGCCATAGATGAAATGAAATGATGAAAACTTGCTTAAAACAAGCCTATATCTGTGGTCTGCTTACTTATTAAAACTCAGCTGCTGTTTACAATATTGTTGTTGTTTCTTGGTTGTTTGGTCCTATTGTACCAGTTTGTTGTCCCTCTCCTGGAAACCTTTCCACAGATAAACCCTTCTGAAGCATGTAAGAACAGAAAGGCAGAGAGGAAATTATCGCTGCCTGCCCCAAAACAATTCTTCTCATCTGAATGTGGCGACCTGGTAGCTGTAATGTAGCAAGTCCTTTACACAGGCTTTTGTTAAGGTTTTGTAGGATAAATGAAACCAGACACAATAACAATTGTTTCAATGTTTATTTAAAAAGGCTGAAGAGTTTAGACCTGTAAGAAGAAGAGTTGGTATGATTACTGAAGATTTAAAATGGTAAATGATTGAGCGTTTGTACTTGTTTCCTTTGTGCTTCTGGAGGTGTTCCAGCTTAAAGAGTCCTCGGAGAGCTGGAGCACCTAAAGAAGGTTCCAGAGCATTCCATTCAGGATGAATAGGGAAGACCTGTGAAATTGCTCAAGGAATGCAGATTAGTTTCACTGAATGTTTTTAGGATTGATTAAGGATATTTCTATTTTTGTATTGTAATTTATTAAAGAAATCTTATAGATGATGATTTAAGGATAATTTAAGAGTATTGAAAGATTGTATTTTTGTACTTACCTGTGTCTGGGTTTTAGGATTATTCCAATTAGTCACATCTGTTATAATTACAGCTCTCTGTTTGTTGGAGAGTGTTGAGAGACGGATGGAGCGGCATGCATGGATTTTTGCTGCCTAGTGTTTAATGAATAAAAGATGTAAATAAATGCACTTGGGTCTGCACTGGACATCGGCCTCCTCAGTATCACTTTTTCCTCTGGAGCGCATGAGGGTTATCCTGACAAGTGCCCTCGGCGCTACAATTGGTGTCAGGAGTTTGCCTGCGTAAAGTGCTGAGGATGACCACAAAGATGCAAACAAGGAAAGCGCAGACAGAGCGAAATGAAGAGCCTGATGTGGAGTCATGTGCATCTGCTGATCAGGGAGCTGCATAAATGGGCACCACTGAGGAGAAGTTGGAGGAATTGGCAGAGCTGGTGAGGGTTCTTGCAAAGTCTCAAGCAGTCTCAAGAGAGCAGCATCTGGAAAAGGAAGCAGCAAGACAAGACGAGATGGAAGAACATGCAGCACCAATTCAGAGAAATCCAGTCTTTGGAGCATCAAGTTATCCAAATACCACCTGATCAAGAGGAAGATTCTGTGTGATTTTGGCCGTGGGCAGGACACTGTCTCTATGGGGTAGTGTGTGAGTAACAGTACAGAAGCTGCAGAGGGGTGTGTTAAACTACGACTCTGCTTCCTGGTCTGGACCCTGGGTTGTCATGGAGGACTAATAAAACTGGCCATGTTCCTAGAAAGAAGAGCTGCTCCATCCAAAGAGGGATGGATGCCGTCTCTCCGCATCAGACCAGGTTTTCCCCAAAAAGTTTTCCAATTATCAATATAGCCCACGTTGTTTTCAGGACATCACCTAGACAGCCAGCGGTTGAAGGACAGCATGCGGCTAAACATGTCGTCACTGGTCCGATCAGGCAGGGGGCCAGAGAAAATTACAGAGTCCGACATTGATTTGGCAAACGTACACACCGAAGCAACATTATTTTTAGTGACCTCCGATTGGCGTAACCGGCTGTCGTTACCGCCAGTGTGAATAACAATCTTACTGTATTTACGCTTATCCTTAGCCAGCAGTTTCAGGTAAGATTTAAAGTTACCCACTCTCGCCCCAGGTAAACATTTAACTATGGTTGCTGGAGTCTCTAATGCCACGTTTCTGACTATGGAGCTGCCAATGATCAGAGTCGGCTTGTCAGTGGGTGCATCACTGAATGGGGAAAATTTGTTAGAAACATGGGCGGGTTGGTGGCGCCCCACGGCCTGGGTTCTATGCTTCCTGCATACCGTCACCCAGCCGGCCTGAGTTCCCGGCTGCTCGGGTTCTGCTGGAGGATCGCTACGGGGTGGTTCTGAGCTAGTTAGCCCCGCACTAGCTAAGTAGATACGGCTGTTTACGGGCTTTTCAACAGCGCGGAGCCGAGCATCCAATTCTGACACCCTCGCCTCCAAAGCTACAAAAATGCTACATTTGTTACACGTACCATTATCACTAAAGGAGGCAGAGGAGTAACTAAACATCTGACACAGAGAGCAAGAGATAGGAGACGAAGAAGCAGCGACAGAAGTAGCCATAGCCGTGCTGAGGCTAAGCTAACTGGACGAGCAAACAGTTCAACACCAAATAAACCGCGTGCGAACTCAAATGGTTCCCTAAAAGCTAGGTGGAACAACAGAAAATGTGTGTTTTAGCGTGCTTATGTGCTACAATAACTCACAGATATCCTAGTACAGAGAAAATAAATCAGTTTTTTCAAGCCACAAACACCAAACAGCTACATGTAGTGCAACACTGAAAACAGGAAACGCCTTACCACCAGGAAGCGGATTGGGGATTGATCGCCCAATCCACGATGAGAAAATACAGACAGTACTAGTTCATCCTGGATGCTATTTCCTGGTTTCCTGAAGATGCTATTTTGTGCTTAAATTCACCAAAATGACCTCATATATAGTACTGATTGTTGCATTAGCTCATGTTAAACATGATTTTATTACTGCTACTTGCATTGTTATTAATAAAATGAAGACAGTGACATGATCTGTCCCTATTAAATAAACAATGATAAAACACGGACTGATGTGATCAGACTTGTATCAGTTTGGACGTATTCACCATGTAGCGTGATTAATTGTCCATTTCTGACCTAAAGGCCCTGCTCTATTTTCTCTGCCCAAGCAAAACCATTAGTTTCTGACACAAGCCTAATCTACAAGATATGGACGAAGGCCACTCATGCTCGGTGCTCTTATCTAAACTGTTGCTTCCTCGGACAGCAGAAGAAAGAAGACCAAGAACTCTAATAAATAATAATTAATGTCTGTTAGTCCAAATAATCATGTGAAGCCTAATGTTCAATAAATCTGTGAAATAAGAATATTAATTACTTGATATTATAATCCTATGATAGTATTTTAATAAGTAATATAACTTTAAATATCTACATTAGACTGATCACACGTAATGCTAAAGTCACATGACACGTTTCCTTTTTCTGATCCAATCAGAACTTTCCAGATCTGACACGAGGCGTGGTTTAGTTGGTGCTTGTATAATCCCCTTTTGTTGTCAAATTCTGATTCAACAGTAAATCAAAACATCCAAATTATAAAACTATGCCCCACGTCGTGTTAACTTCAGTTCAAAGCGTTCTAGGGAAGTTATCGGAGTGGCCAATTCGTAACTTTCCTCTTAAAGCCAAAAGAACCTAACGACAACCTGGAATAAATCTGTTGCATGTTCCACCTGCTGCAACGGTTCCTTCAGAATAAAAGCTGAACCATCACGACCCCTTCAGGGTCTCGCTAGATGCCAATAAAACTGCCGTGACCTGGGAGTATCTCAAGACGGGGCTGAACTGTAACTGCGGCTTTGCTACAGGCTTCGGTTCCAGACAAGGTCCAAGCTGGACCTCAACACCGCCTGATCTAAACGGGGACTTCCACTTAGGAATCCTAATAATTTAATTCACCACTTCACCAGTGTGTTTTTCCTGTTTGTGAGACGAACCCCTCCTTCATAACCAGGTTACTGGTACGAAAGCCTGGAAGGGCCAAAATTCCTCAAACTTTTTTTCTACTACTGATATGAATTACATATGATAGAACAGAGTAAATTTTATTAGTCCCACAGAGGGGACATTACACAGCAGCACATACACTTAGAGGAACAGATTACAGGTAAAACTGATTCCAGCCATGTTTGCTTTGATAGCTTCAATAACTTTATGCTGATGACCCACATGAACATAATCCTCTGTTTAGTCGATGCAAATACATCATGAAGTTAGCTTAACATGATAGATTTATTTTCTTGGCAGGAAATAATAACTGGTAATATTATGAATGGCATGATATTGCCCATCCCTAGATGGAATTAAAACATTTACATTAGTTATAATTAAAATTTCCTGTGTGGCATTTGTGATACATAGCTGTAACTCTTTACTGTAGATAGATAGATAGATAGATAGATAGATAGATAGATAGATAGATAGATAGATAGATAGATAGATCGATGATAGATAGATAGATAGATAGATAGATAGATAGATAGATAGATAGATAGATAGATGATAGATAGATGATAGATAGATAGATAGATAGATAGATAGATAGATAGATAGATAGATAGATAGATAGATAGATAGATAGATAGATAGATAGATAGATAGATAGATAGATAGATAGATAATGTGAAGAAGTTCAGGAGAGTTGGATGTTAAATTTTCCTCACGAAAAGAAAATTTGTATTAAACAAGGTCAGTTCCCTCTGTAAAGTCAGAGGTACGGAAGAGGATTAGGGCCACTGAAAAGGAAAAAAAGAAAAGAAACAGCATTCTGACTTTTTCCCCAGAATTCCCTGTCACAGTCTGTCAGAATAAAAGTCAGAATTCTGAGACTAAAACTCGTAATTTAGAGAAAAAATTCTGAGAAAAAAAGTAAGAATTCTCTCTCTTTTTTCTTCCTTGTCAGTGGCTCTAATCCTCTTCGGTACAGGGTAGCCCCCCACCTCCCCACCCCACCACCACCACCACCAAACGGTCGGCGAATTGTCCACTCCCAACCCCATGACCCCGTCTCACTCTGAAATGTGCAAAAGTTGGCAGCCCTGCCAATGGTGGTGAGCTACAATGCAGTCACAGCTGCCTGGGCCACACTGAGGGATGCAAAGCTGCTGTGCATTGACGTCACTGGTCCTTCTGACCACCACCACCACCAGGCAAGGCGATTTAGTGTCTTGTCCAAACACAATGACCACAACAGTCGGGGCTCAACACGCACACACATAGACAGTGACAATGCACCAACTTCCTGTTTTCAACATTCAGTGTGTTTACACATGCATCCAAGTTGGTCTGGGTCGATCTAAAGTAAGAAACTGGGAGTGTTAGGAAAAACCCTGACCTACTTATCAAGCAGAGTTCACTCACCCTTGCTGCTTAAATGTGTTAGGAAAAACCCTTACCTAGTTACTTGTTTTTACGTTTGGGTGTTTTCAGAAAACTCCTTTCGGCTCGAGGTGTTTTTCCATTAGTTGAAGCAAACTGGTCAAACGGGGGTTTCACACTATTTGTTTTCTGAGGCCAAGAAGGGTGTTCAGGAATTTGTGGGTGTGTGTATGTTTTCAAATAAAACCACTCCACAAGCTTTGGCTGATGGTGAGAGGAATCATGGCTTCTGACTTCAGTGTGTCTCTGTGCCTTTCCCTCACCCGTTGCAAAGGGAGCTTTGTAACGTATTTTGAGGTTTGTTACGATTTACCAAATTATCTGTATGTGCTTTGACTTTCTTTAAGGTAGAAAAGAGGAAAGGTAATATGGGAGAGAGACGATGGCAAACTCCGGAGAGGGTTTGGGCCTTCTCTCTCTCCCCTCTGTTTCTAATTGTGTAAGGTGTGTTATTTCAGGTGGCGCATATAAAATACCTAACAGGGAGCATTCACTCTGGTTTATTTGCACGTTAGAAAATCGACCTCTTAACTGAAGCTCGTTTCACTACGGTACAGTAGGTGGTGACATCTGCTCTTTAGTGTCAACATTCTACCAGTTAGTCAGCAAGACTAATATTTTTACATGCATTTTAAAAAACGATGTCAGTTCATTTAGGGCAACAGTTCTGTTTTCTGATGTGCATGTAAACGTGTGTGAGTGTGTGCATAGCAGCTCTATCTCCCTGACGCCCCATTAAGTTCTAGTTGAGTCACCTAAAAGACAACCTCACTTCAATTAAAGAACTACATGTTGAATAACTGTTGTTACCCAACAAATGAGCCCTGTCAGCTCAATAGTTAAATCCCATGTTTATTTTTGATTGGATGTTTTGTTGAAAATCTACCGCAACAGTTTATCAAAGAGCAGAGCTAAGACAGCATTTCCAAAATTAGCTGAAATATCAACTAAAAAACCAGAATTCTGACTGTGATCACCTTCCCTCCAGGCGCTTGGGCCCATGGGTTTAAGGCAGCTCATTTAGTCCAGCCTCTGTATCACGTCACAAGGAAGGAGGACACCAGAACTGGATAAGCAATAAAGAGTACTGGACTGAAAGTCGAGCAGCTTATGATCACCATCTCTCTCTAAAAATGCAAGCTGTTGATGAAAATGAACTCTGCTTTCCAACACTGTTTAATTCATCCTGTAGGAAGACCAACCATCCTCCCTCTATCTCCATGCTCATTTACTTCACACTGTCCTCCATCTCTGTGCTTACCATAATTCCTAATGTGTTGCTTGTCATTGCCATCATCCACTTCAGGTGAATGGTATATGTCTTTGAATCACGTAATTATTTTGTTCATGCTGGTGGGGTTCACCTTTTATTGTAACAAAATCACTTCAGCATGCTGTAAGTATTTTCTTCTCTCCTCTCTCCAGGAAGCTCCACAGCCCCACCAACTTCCTGCTGCTCTCTCTGGCGGTCTCAGATTTCTTGGTGGGGTTCCTCATTTCCTTTCAAATCATGCTAATGGATGGCTGCTGGTATCTTGGGGACATCATGTGTGCAATGTACCTTTTTTTGGATTATGTCATAACTTCTGTTTCAGGAGGAACCATGGTGCTCATCTCAGTTGACCGCTATGTGGCTGTTTGTAACCCTCTTTATTACCCCAGCAAAGTAACTGCAGGAAAATCAAAGATGTGTATTTTATTGTGTTGGGCATCTGCTGTTGTCTTTCACAGCCTTCTGCTGAAAAACAACTTGCAAAACCCTGGCCGATATAAATCCTGCTATGGAGAGTGTGTAGTAGTAGTTGAATACATTGGAGAGATTCTTGATCTATTTTTCTCTTTTATTGGACCCATAACTGTCATTATTGTTCTTTATTCAAGAGTGTTTGTGGTGGCTGTGTCTCAGGCTCGTTCCATGCGCTCTCGGGTTGCAGCTGTCACTCTTCATGGTTCAGTGAGAGTTAAAGCTAAGAAATCTGAAATGAAGGCAGCCATGATTCTTGGTGTTGTTGTTGTTGTGTTTCTTTTATGTACCTGTCCATATTACTGTGTTGCCCTTATGGCTCAGGATACTGGGGTCAGTACTTCATCTGTAGCTTTTCTTTTGTTCTATTTTAATTCCACTCTAAACCCTCTGATCTATGCCCTGTTTTACCCCTGGTTCAGGAAATCAGTTAAAATAATTCTAACTCTTCAGATTCTGAAGCCTGGATCATGTGACACCAACATGATGTGAATAAAACCAGATAAATTATTTTCTTAATGTACTCAAATATATATGGAGCAAATTATTATTATTATTATTATTAACAACAACATAATAATAATAATAATACATTATTTTAAAAACAATATAATTTATCACATGAATATAAAGTGTTTTGTTTGTTTGCAGTCAAACTTGTGAGGTCTTAATAGATTTTTTGTGAAAAGCCATTTAAAGGCCTTAACAGATCCAAGGTTAAGGTTGCAAAATAACTGTAAAATATGTTTATAGTCAGTTTAGATATTGAGAAATGAATTTGAAAATTTCTAACTCTTTGCAAACTGAGAAGAAAGCTATTTCCATTCATACATGCAATTCTCATTTCACTTTCTATAACTGTTTTTGAAACTCTAGGAAAAATGAATTTAAAAATGTTTTTGTTGGTGTTTTGGGGGTTCTTCCATATAAATCCATGGCATTTTGATTTACCCCTGGTAAAGTATTTCACAAAAAAAACTTATCAAAAACTATAAAAAACTATGAGTACTCTACCAAATCCTCCTCAAATATTGTGTTGAATGAAAGCTTATGGTATCATTTAAAGTATGACTCACAAGAAGTTAGAAAATAACATACTCAAACAGCTTTTTTTTAAACTCAGATTTCTTAAAATCACAGTTTAAGTTTAATGTTTTGGGTCTTCCAGGTAAATTTGAGCCGTTATAGAAAAATAGGAGATTTGATGTCACCTTCTGGGGAAATTTGTGATTTAATCAATGGTCGTACAGAAATGAGTCGCACTAGATTAAAATAAATACTAGTCTAAAACTGTTTTGTTTTGTTTTTGTAATCCAATGGTCATACTGGTGCTTCCTCAGATCATTTCAGGCTCATCCTTGAAAGAAAAAGCTGCAACAGGTAACTCAATGGATGTGGGCAAAGCAAGCCAGCTTCATTTACACAGAAATAATTCAGTGTGCTGTCCAGGTGCAAGATGAGCAAGAACATAAAGCATTAAAATCAACATGATGACAAACAGCAGATTATAAAATAAAATTTAAAATACATAAATATGTGAAAAATAAAATAAAAAAGTTACATTTTATTTAAAGGTTACTAGATTTGGGGCACATTTTAGGTCATAAGGAAGCTGATGCCATCTGTGTGTAACATAGTAGCTACCCAGCAAACATTGTCACGATGGCAACGTGGTGTCCATGGCCAAAAATGGTTGTGGTTGGACGTCTTAAATTTGTTAAAACATCTGTAACAGAAAATTCCCTAAAAATCCATTCAGATATATTTTTACATGTCAACAGTTACATGTATAATTGTTATTTTGGCGATGTGTTACATGTATCACATTCAGTAAATATTGGTCCGATGGTAACTTGGTGTCAACCGCGAAAAACGGTCATAGTAGGACGGCGTCAATTGGTAAAAAAACTTCTAACAGACATTTTCCTAAATGTCCATTCAGATATACTTGTACATGTCTACAGTTACATGTATAATTGTTATTTCGACAATTTGTTACGTGTAGTTCAACATAAAGCATCCCAGCCAATGTTGGTCTGATGGCAACGTCAATGTCATCGTTGGATGGCTTAAATTGGTAAAAAATATGTAACTGAATATTTCCTACAAATCCATTCTGATACATGTATACATGTCTTCAGCTATCTGGGGTCACGTTACGTGTAGTTCAACATAGAGCCTGCTGTGAATCAGATGTAACTATACAGCTACTGGGCGACACCCTACACATGTCAAAGAGATAGCTCAACTGGTAAGGCATCTGCCTTACACGACGAGGACCTGGGATTGTATTCAGGCTGGGACATATGAGATTTCATCTCAGATCACATGCAGAAATTTATTTTTTTATTCCAGTAATGGAAGCTGTCTTTTTAGGTCCAACTCCTTTGCTATTTGTCAATAAACAGAAAGGAGCAGGATTTATTTCAGTGTTGTTTGGATGGTTTTATTTTGGATTTTTTTATTGCAGCTTTTAATGTTGGAGTGAATTTGTTTGAAATAGACGGCGAGCTGAGTGAAAGAATTGCTGCACCTGTTTAGATTGTTTAAAGAAACAGGAGAGGAAGCAGGTTTTTTCAGCGGACTCGAGGGCATGCCACAACGCATGTGCTCGATGGCAGCAGCACCTGTGAGTAGTGTCATTCTGCAGGCATTAGGAGGCTGAGGGGAGAGCTACCCAGGGTGGATTATAAGAGGTCCGCTTGGCCAGTATCTCTGCTTTGAGGGTGACCCCAGAGCGCGCAGGATCCTTGGGAAAAGGAAGAAGTGGGGGGACCTCGGTGTCCCAGTGGTCGCATTGCACCCCTGGGCCTCTTCCCGTGGATCTCTCCCCGCAGCCTCCTAATGCCAGCTCGGCCCTGCTGCACCTTTTTCTCCCAGCACAGCCAGTCCGCTGAAAACACCTGCTTCCTCTCCCGTCTCTTAAAACAGTCTCAACAGATGCAGCAATTCTTTCACTCAGCTCACCGTCGATTTCAAACAAACTCACTCCAACATTAAAACCTGCAAGAAAAAAAATCCAAGATAAAACCATCCAAACAACACTGAAATGAACCCTGCTCCTTTCTGTTTATTGACCAATAGCAAAGGAGTTGGACCTAAAAAGACAGCCTTCCTGATTAGCATAATGAGGCAGAAATGCATAAGGTAAAGGAAAAAGAAGACGAGGGAATGTAAAATCAAGGAATGCATGTACAGTAAAAGGAAAAGTAAAAACTAAAACTAAACATATACATTTTAGTTTCTTTTGTCTGTTTCTGTCCTCATAGACTGTATCTTCGTGAGTACTGGTATAATGGATAAATAATAGGTGAGGAAAAAACCCTGCTATCATCCATTATTACTGTAAAATGGAGGTTGTGATTTTCCATCACTTGGTTCAAGCACTGGAGTATGCCTGCATCATTGGTCAGTAGTGAATGCAGACACCTCTTTAGATAGCCTCTGCTTCTCCCGTTGTCCCAAGGCTCTCCTTGAGCCTGTGGCACCTGGTGCTCCTTGTTCCTGTTGTTGACAGGAGCTTCGGTCCCTGAAGGGAAATGTTAGAATATGAATGAAGCAGTGTCACCATCACCAATTCCTGTTTAAAAAAAGTCAGTCATAGTAAGTTATAAAAATTGTTTTTTGCATCTGCTTTGTGGAAATGGTTGAAAAAAATCAATATTTCTGGATGAGCTTAAATATCTCATGCAAAAAATGTGATGAAACAGCAAAAAATAAATAAATGAAACAGAAAATGAAAGTTGCTTTTGAGTTCATGTATATGATTATCATCACAACATGCAGACATAGTAATGAACATGATGTGCATAAATATTATTATGAATACAGTATTGTCTTTTCTTTCCTGATGGCCTGAATGCTGCTGATGAAGTTCTCCAGGGCACGCTTGATGAAGACCACGTCAATGTCCTTCTTCTGCAGTTGTTGGTACATCATGTCAATAGAAGACATGATTTGATGAAAAAACTGCAGGACAAAACAAAAATCTTCGTCCTGCAGCATCCTCAGGAACCCAGATGCCTCCCTCACTGTGGTGTTGTCAAATAAGCTGTCTGCCCTGATGGTCTCAAAACACACTGTTAGGTTAGTCAGGTTCTCATGGACGGTGCTCACGATCCTGCTGTTGAAGTTCCACCTTGTGGATGGTGCTCTAGGCAGCCTTCGTGCAATGGTCTGGTCGAGAATGGCTGTGCTTTTGGGTGACCGGGTAAAAAATGTGGAAATCCCACTTAAGTCAGAAAAAAATACCTCTCACTGCTGGGATGTGAGAAGTGGCATGCTGCATGATTAAATTTAGCTGGTGTGCATAATAGTGCACATAATGGGCATTTTTGTACTCTTCCCATACCTTTTGCTGCACACCCCCTCTTTCACCCCCTCATTACACTGGCACTGTTGTAAGCTTGCACAATAAGTTTGCTTTTCTCGTCCTCGGTGAAAACGCTGTTAAGCCTCTCCAAAACTGCATCAGCTGTGGAGCCGGCTGTTGCGGACAAGATGGGGACAAATTCATAGAACCGTTCCTGCACAGCGTGTTTCCCATCAATGTATCTCAACACGAGCACTAGCTGAGAAATAGTCAAATAAAAACAAGTTAGTTTTTGCACCTGGTGGTTGCAACAAACAGACACCATTGAAGGTAATCAGAAGTGAGGAACAGAAAATGAAATAATTATTTTAGTGTTTAGAGCAGCAGGAACTCTGAAAGGCTGCAGGCGCATCAGTGAGTTTGCGGCTGCTGCGCAGGGGGAGGGGGAAGAGGGCTGAAGCAGAAACTACCGTTGTTAAAAGCCTGCCTCTAATTATGGTCCTCCTTCCAATAAAGGCCTGGAACTTGATGAGCTTGAGTCAAATACAGGCCCGGGCCTGTATTAGAGGATTTACGGTAATTAGACCACAGGTTTAGCTTTCCTAGTATAAAAGTAGTTAAAATAATGTGCGCATAGGAAGCTCAAATTAGAATCATTGTCAATAAGTGGATCCAAACTGTTAATATTTAACTAAAGCAGGACCTTTAATTGAGAAAAAAATTTGAATAAAGGAATTTTGCTTACCCAAGTCCACATATGTTGTATGCAAAACTTGTATGATTCAGTTCTCTGCAGTCTTTTCAATTGTGCGAGACTCTTATCAAGTCTCAAAGGGGGAAATGCAGTATCTACAGAAAATACTGCAGCCGCAGAACTTGGTTACTGTATGTGGTCAGAGGATTTACTCTGGTCCACGTAAGCATTTCTTTGTGTGCAGAAAGCTTGCCTTTTTTTAGAAGAAAGGGCCTTAGGCTGTTTAAAGTTAATACAGTAAAGGTATGGATTGGTTCGTCCAATCTGGGTGGATGCTATCCCCTCCTATGGGAGTGGTAGTGTGTTCCCTAAGTCAATATAAAGGAGCATTTGGGCGTTATTCGGGGGATTTCATTCTGGCTGAATTCCTCCTGGTTCCAGACGCATCAAACCTGTACTGATGTGGACTCGTTAATAAAGTTTCTGATGTCAAAGCGTCTGCTTCTTCAGGGAGCGATTCTTCAGAACATACTGACATACAAACCCTGGCTGAATTCACTACACTGGACAAACCGCTCAACCTCCTGAGCCCAACCTTGAGATCACTGGTAGAGTTGGTAGAGGTGGTGGTTTGGGGCTGCCTGCTGGTGCTTCTACATCTGCATCCTGATCCTAAATAAGTGAAGGAAAATTGACAGATGGACAGAGTTATGTTTGGTGTATAGTTTTTACAAACAGCAATGCCCAAATAAGAGCAGAAAGTACTTTTTTTTGTAATTTTTTTTTAGAAAATGTAACATTGAAAACATAAAAGAATCATCTAAACAAGAATATCCAAAAAAGACTAATATCAGCGCTTGTAAGCTAATTAATGATGTCCCTCCTCCAGGAATAGGGTGGGGAAAGAGCGAGTAAAAACGGATATAACATCATTTCACATTCTGGCAGGATTCACATTAGTTATGTCCTCTCCTCCTCCTAATGATGCAAACTCCAGAAGAAGGTGAACTCTGCTTTCCAAAACTGTACAATTTGTCCTGTAGGAAGACCACCCGTCCTCCCTCTACCTCCATGCTCATTTATATTACACTGTCCTCCATCTCTCTGCTTACTGTTACTCTTAATATGCTGGTCATCATCTCCATCTCACACTTTAGGTGAATTAATGATTTTACCAAACATTTTTAATGCCGTTTTGACACTTGTTATTATGTTTTCAGATTTGATTTAAATGCTACAAAAGCTGATGGTATTGTTTTTTTTTCTCGTCTCTCCAGGAAGCTCCACAGCCCCACCAACTTCCTCCTCCTCTCTCTGGCGGTCTCAGACTGCATGGTGGGGTTCCTCATTTCCTTTCAAATCATCCTCATAGATGGCTGCTGGTATCTCGGGGACCTCATGTGTGCAATGTACCTTGTTTTGGATTATGTTATCGCTTCAACTTCAATAGGAACCATGGTGCTCATCTCAGTTGACCGCTATGTGGCCATTTGTTACCCCTTTTTTTACTTCAGCAAAGTAACTGCAGAAAGAACAAAGATGTGTATTTTACTGTGTTGGATGTGTTTTATTCTCTATCAGACTCTTCTCCTGAAGGAAAATCTGCAAAACCCTGGTAGATTTAAAACCTGCTATGGAGAGTGTGTGGTTTTTCTAAACTACTTTGAGGGATTTCTTGATCTGTTTTTCTCCTTTATTGGACCCATTACTGTCATTATAGTTTTATATTCAAGAGTGTTTGTGGTGGCTGTGTCTCAGGCTCGTTCCATGCGCTCTCAGGTTGCAGCTGTCACTCTTCATGGTTCAGTGAGATTTAAAGCTAAGAAGTCTGAGATGAAGGCAGCCATGATTCTTGGTGTTGTTGTTGTTGTGTTTCTTTTATGTACCTGTCCATATTTCTGTCTTACACTTACTACACAAGATACTGGAGTCAGTGCTTCATCTGTAGCTTTTCTTTTGTTTGATGTTAATTCCACTCTAAACCCTCTGATCTATGTCCTGTTTTACCCCTGGTTCCGGAAATCAGTTAAATTAATTCTTTCTCTCCGGATCCTGAGGCCTGACTCCTGCAACGCTAACATAATGTGAAGAAAACCAAGCCACTAAAATCAGTCAATCATGAGGTACTGCATAATGCATATAATAGAATTTGAGCAAATTAATTTAGAAACATGTTAGAAACTTTATTATTGTGAGAATTAATGGAGTATTGAATTTGTTTTGATTCAAACCTAGCATGTGGTGAAAAGCCATTTAAGGACCCTAAAAGTCTAAGTATTGGTATTTCCATGGGTGTGGCAAATATTAATTTAATAAATATATTTATTATTTTTTGCTATTGTGACCTGATTTTGAAAAAAAAAATGTAAAAACTATTTGCAATAATGCATGTGACAGTAATTTCACTGTTGTATGGTTTTGTTCTTAAATCTCCAACGAATATATTTTTGTTGTACTTTTTGTCTGATTTTTATTTAGGTGAGCCCCAATAAAATTCATGTAGAGAAATGCATTATTAGTTGAAGATAGATTATTTGGAAGGTACTTGACAACTTGTGAGTGAGCCGGAAATGAGAGTCACACAGGGTTAAAGAAACAAAATGTCCAACAAGTACATTTAATTTCCTTGTTTGTACTCCAAAAAATTGGGTTGAGTTTTGTCTATTTGTCCACCTCTCATCTCTAGGTCACATGACATTTCAGAATGAGAGCTCAGTTACAGGTTCAAAAAAAATAATCGCAAACAGTTCTTACACCCACATCTTTACACATACAAAAACCAAAGTCACCACCTGGATTTAACTAAGCAAATAGGTAGGAGCCTCCTATTGGATAATTACTGCAAGGGTGATTATCTTTCAGCTGGCAACAAGTTACACTCAACAAAAATATAAACGCAACAACTTTGTTTCTGCTACGATTTTTCATGAGATGGCCTTAAAAATCTAAAATTCATTCCAGATACACAATATTACCATTTCTTTAAAATATTGTTCTCAAATCAGTCTAAATGTGTGATAGTGAGCACTTCTGCTTTGCTGAGATAATCCATCCCACATCAAGATGCTGATCCGACATCATGAGTAGTGCACAGGTGTACCTTATACTGCCCACAATAAAAGGCCAACCTGGAATGTGCAGTTTTGTCTCACAGCAAAATGCCACAGATGCCACAAGCATTGAGAGAGCGTGCAATTGGCATGCTGACAGCAGGAATGTCAACCAGATTTGTTGCTCGTGCATTGAATGTTCATTTCTCCACCATAAGCCATCTCCAAAGACGTTTCTGAGAATATGGCAGTAGATCCAACCGGCCTCACAACCGCAGACGACGTGTAACCACACCAGCCCAGGACCTCCACATCCAGCAGGTTCACCTCCAAGATCGTCTGAGACCAGCCACTCAGACAGCTGCTGAAACAATTGGTTTGCATAACCAAAACATTTCTGCACAAACTGTCAGAAACCGTCTCGGAGCTCAACTGCATGCTCGTCGTCCTCACTGAGGTCTTGACCTGACTCCAGCTCGTCGCCGTAACAGACTTGAGTGGGCAAATGCTCACATTCGATGGCGTCTGGCACATTGGAGAGGTGTTCTCTTCACGGATGAATCTCGGTTTACATTGTTCAGGGCAGATGGCAGACAGCGTGTGTGGCGTCGTGTGGGTGAGCGCTTTGCTGATGACAGTGTTATGGACTGAGTGGCCCATGGTGGTGATGGGGTTATGGTATGGGCAGGCATCTGTTATGGACAACGAACACAGGTGCATTTTATTGATGGCATTTGAAATGCACAGAGATACCGTGATGAGATCCTGAGGCCCATTGTTGTGCCGTACATCCATGAACATAGCCTCATGTTTCAGCAAGATAATGCATGGCCCCATGTTGCAAGGATCTGTACACAATTCGTGAAAGCTGAAAATGTCCCAGTTCTTGCATGGCCAGCATACTCACCGGACATGTCACCCGTTGAGCATGCTTGGGATGTGCTTGACCGGCGTATACGACAGCATGTACCAGTTCCCACTAATATCCAACAACGTCGCACAGCCATTGAAGAGGAGTGGACCAACATTCCACAGGCCACAGTTGACAGTTTGATAAACTCTATGCGAAGAAGATGTGTTGCACTGCATGAGGCAAATGGTGGTCACACCAGATACTGACCGGTTCTGAGTCCCCAGACCCCCAATAAAGCAAAAAACTGCACATTCCAGGGTGGCCTTTTATTGTAGGCAGTATAAGGTACACCTGTGCACTACTCATGATGTCCGATTAGCATCTTGATGTGGCACACCTGTGAGGTGGGATGGATTATCTCAGCAAAGCACAGGTGCTCACTATCACACATTTAGACTGATTTGTGAACAATGTTTGAGAGAAATGGTAATATTGTGTATCTGGAATGAATTTTAGATCTTTAACTCCATCTCATGAAAAATCGGAGCAGAAACAAAGGTATTGCGTTTATATTTTTGTTGAGTGTAATTAACCCCAACTGGTGCAAAGGCCTGCTTCTCATTTCTTAAACAACCATGTGGAAAAACATCTGGTGGTCGTGGAAAATATGTTAGTCTGTTTGGGAAGGGTCAGATCATTGGCATTCATCAAGCAGAGAAAAGATCTCAGGAGATTGCAGAAATGATTTAAATTGAGTTAATAATGGTCCAACTTATCAGGGCTTGCTACAGTTAATCAGGTCTAGAGGGTCGTCAGTGGATTGTGGCCAGACTATATATTCACTTGTTCAATGGGGCAAAATGTCATGTTCTGTGTCCCTTTGGTCCCCAGCCCCCTCCAGTTCTCCCTCCAGGTTCCCCTCATGTGTCCCTAAAGCTGTTTTTACAGGACCATAGCGTTTGCAAAACAGGATTTGCTGCGGCTCCCTAGGGAGGATTTTGACATTTATAGTAGCAAAGCTGAAGCTAAAATAAACTGCCATCAGGCACCTCTCAAACCAAGATAAAGAGAGGTCGCTGGGCGGCCCCCCTGCATGTGACGTACAGGGTCGCGCATTCAGCGTCATGACCTTCAGCTTTGATGTGACCTGCTATTTGTTCCGCTTGACGCCCCGCTCAGCCAGTGTTATCACCACTCTGTCAAGCAGCTGGTTGTCTCTTACCGTCCCCATAAAAAGGCGACTAATCTGTTTGTCCGCTCGCACGGCCAAAAGCTCCATGGTCTCCGCATCCGTCCAGTTTGCCATGTTGTAGGTGGTTGAAAGATACTAGTAAGAGGCCATGTTTATCTGTGTTTATATCCCTTCCGACCGGCACTTGGCGTACAGTATACGTCACTAATGCGACCACCCTCTCCAAAGGGGAGCTCCAAAGGGATTAGCGGGGCTGACACGCGTTTAACCGTCAGACGCGAGGGGCTCATGCGGCAATATTACTACGAGGCTAAGCGCATCAGAATCGAGTTTTATCACCTTTGCCCTTTGCTCTTTGCTGCATTTACGAGACCCACAAATTCGGATTTATCACTCTGTAATGACGCAATGGTCTGTCTTATAAAAGAGGCTTTAGTCTCCTGTGCCCTTTTTTGTCCCCAGCTCACTCCAGGTTTCCCTCATATTTCTCCTAGTCACTCCTCTCTAGTTTTCTGTAGGTTCAGGTTTTCATTTTATTAGTCTCCTTTAGTGTGTGTGTGTGTTTTCCTTCCCCACTTGTTAATTCAATTCAATTAACTTTAATTCAATTTTATTTATATAGAGCCAAATCACGACAAGAGTCGTCTCAAGGCACTTCACGTAATAAACATTCCAATTCAGGTCAGGTCATTAAGCCAATCAGAAATTATGTTTCCTATATAAGGAACCCAGCAAATTGCATCAAGTCACTGACTAGTGTCAGTGACTTTACAGCAATCCTCATACTAAGCAAGCATAAAGCGACAGTGGAGAGGAAAACTCCCTTTTAACAGGAAGAAACCTCCAAAGTATCCTGGCTCAGTATAAGCAGCCATCCTCCACGACTCACTGGGGATCGAGAAGACAAAGCAGACACACACACACACACACACACACACACACCACGCACGCACGCACGCACGCACGCACACACACACACACACACACACACACACACACACACACACAAGACAAAGTAATGTGTCTATAGTTATATTGTGATATCTCAGTAAATATTCTATTTGGTGAGGGATAAACTTTATTGTATTTATCCTAGTGGATCGATAATTAAACGGATAAACTAGCAGTAGCACATCCAACGTCAAGGAAAGCAAAAAGTTATTATCAGGAGAGGGAGAATGTTTAAGTGGTTAGCAGCAGTGTGCTAGACAATGGCCCCCTCCATGAGGCCACCAAAGCTCAGCAGAACATCATTGTAGCTTCTTCTGGGGAGAAAAACACTTAGAGAGAAAATAAAGTTAACAGCTGAAATTGCAGAAAATAATACAGTTAAAGAGCACATTTTAGAAGAAAGTAGTAGAGTGTGAAAAGTGGTCAGTGTATCATCCAGCAGTCTAAGCCTATAGCAGCATAACTACAGAGATAACTCTGGATAATCTATCCTATTTAGATGGAGGCATGTTGGAGGCAGGGCAAGGTAGAGCCGTCTTTACCGACTGTACACTCCACCATTAATGTAATGCCATTCAGGTCAGGTGATTGATTAAGCAATTTCCATTTCTGGATTTCTGGTCCAAAGATGAGAACTCCCGTCTTGTCTTGATTTAAAAGCAAAAAGTTTAGACTCATCCAATTTTTTATGTCCTCAAGACAAGCCTGTAATCCACCCAACCGATTAGGTTCATCAGGGTTACTGGATAAATATAACTGAGTATCGTCAGCATAACAGTGGAAGTTTATCCCATGCTGTCTAATGATTTTACCAATTGGGAGCGTATACATAGTAAAAAGAATTGGTCCAAGCACTGAACCCTGTGGTACTCCACAAGTAACCCTGGAGTATGAAGGCGATTTCTCATGTATATTTACAAAATGAAATCTGTCAGACAGGTAGGATTTAAACCAGCCTAGCGCTGTTCCTTTGATCCCTACAACATGTTCAAGTCTTTCTAAAAGAACATTGTGATCAACTGTGTCAAAGGCAGCACTGAGATCTAACAAGACTAGAACAGACACAAGATTCTTATCTGAGGCCATGAGAATATCATTTGTAACTCTCACTAATGCAGTTTCAGTGCTGTGATACTCTCTAAAACCAGACTGAAATTCCTCAAACAGAGCATTAGTGTTTAAATGCTGACATACTTGGATGGCCACTATTTTCTCCAGGACTTTGGATAAAAATGGAAGGTTAGATATTGGTCTATAATTCATTGGGTCATCTGGATCCAGAGCAGGCTTCTTAAGTGAAGGTTTGATTACAGCAACCTTAAAATCCTGTGGTACATACCCATTTACTAAGGATAGATTGATTATATCTAGAATGGGGGCAGTAACCAAAGGAAATGCTTCTTTAAATAATTTGGTTGGGATTGGATCCAAAATGCAAGTTGAAGGTTTCGATGAAGCTAATATTTTTGATAAATCTGAAAGCTCAACTTGATCAGAAATCATTCATGCACAGATGAGGTTCTACAGTCACCTCTGATGCTGCCTCACTTACTGGGGAAGAAGAAATCGCATTAGGGAGGATGCTAAAGATTTTGTTTCTAATAGAATTAATTTTACTTGTAAAAAATCCCATGAAGTCATTGCTGCTGAGGGCTAAGGGAATAGATGGCTCAGAGCTATGATTCTGTGTAAGTTTAGCAACTGTAATGAAAAGAAATTTAGGATAATGCTTATTCTCCTCAATTAATGCTGAGAAATGAGCAGTTCTAGTTTGTCGAAGCTTATTTTTATAAAGCACAAGACTATTTTTCCAGGATAGGTAGGCCTCCTCATGGTGCGTAGAGCGCCATGTTCTCTCCAATTTCCTAGAGTTTTGTTTTAAGGCTCGTAAATGAGAATTAAACCAGGGAGCCAACTTCCTGTCCCTAATTACCTTCTTTTTTAAAGGGGCAACATCATCTAATGCCACACGTAAAGAGGAATTAACATGATGAACTAAGGCATCAATTTGTGAGGGGCTAGAACTGAAAATATTGCTCTCTGCTACATGCCTCTGAAATGCTGAGGACAGTAAAGATGCAACTGCGCTGTCCGATAGAGACCGACTATAGTGACATTTACTTTCATGTCTCGAGAACTCAGTTATAAAAAACTCAAAGGTTATCAGAAAGTGGTCCGAGGACTGGATTATGTGGAAAGATCGTTGTTTCCTTACACTCTATGCCATAAGTCAGCACAAGGTCTAATGTATGATGGCAGGAGTGGGTGGAGCTATGTATTGTTTGAGTAAAACCAATTGAGTCTAAGATATTACTAAAGGCTACATTGAGGCTATCATTTTCAATGTCCACATGAATATTAAAATCCCCCACTACAATGACCTTATCAGTATTTAGCACCAAATCAGATTAAAAAAAATCAGAGATCTGATCCAAAAACTCAGAGTAAGGGCCTGGTGGATGATATAAAACTACAAACAAGAGTGGTTTTACAGTTTTGCAATCTGGATTAGGAAAACTAAGAATAAGATGTTCGAACGAACTGTAGCTATTAATTGATAATGGACTGATTAATAAATCCGAATGAAAAATGGTTGCCACTCCTCCTCCTCGCCCTGTACTTCGAGCAATATGATGATTTAAATAATTTGAAGGAGTCGACTTATTTAAACTAACATAGTCCTCTTGCTGCAGCCAGGATTCTGTGAGAGAGAGCAAAGAAATCCGATTATCACAAATCAAGTCATTAACTAACAAAGTCTTAGAAAAAATGGATCTAATGTTCAATAACCCACATTTACTTTTTCTAGTTTTCTGCTCAGTTGAATTTGTTCTAATATTTATGAGATTTCCATGATTTGCTTTATTAAGCCTGATATTTAATCTGTGTGATTTTGGCCGTGGGCAGGACACTGTCTCTATGGGGTAGTGGGTGGGTAACAGTACAGAAGCTGCAGAGGGGTGTGTTAAACTACAACTCTGCTTCCTGGTCTGGACCCTGGGTTGTCATGGAGGACTAATAAAACTGGCCATGTTCCTAGAAAGAAGAGCTGCTCCATCCAAAGAGGGATGGATGCCGTCTCTCCGCATCAGACCAGGTTTTCCCCAAAAAGTTTCCCATTTATTAATGTAGCCCACGTTGTTTTCAGGACACCACCTAGACAACCAGCGGTTGACGGACAGCATGCAGCTAAACATGTCGTCACTGGTCCGATCAGGCAGGGGGCCAGAGAAAATTACGGAGTCCGACATTGATTTGGCAAACTTGCACACCGAAGCAACATTAATTTTAGTGACCTCCGATTGGCGTAACCGGGTGTCGTGACCGCCAGCGTGAATAACAATCTTACTGTATTTACGCTTATCCTTAGCCAGCAGTTTCAGGTAAGATTTAATGTCGCCCACTCTGGCCCCAGGTAAACATTTAACTATGGTTGCTGGAGCCTCGAATGCCACGTTTCTGACTATGGAGCTGCCAATGATCAGAGTCGGCTTGTCAGTGGGTGCGTCACTGAGCGGGGAAAATCTATTAGAAACGTGGACGGGTTGGTGGTGGCCCACGGGCTGGGATCTATGCTTCCTGCGTACCGTCACCCAGCCGGCCTGAGGTCGCAGCTGCTCGGGTTCTGCTGGAGGATCGCTACAGGGTGGTTCTGAGCTAGTTAGCCCTACGCTAGCTAAGTATATGGCTCTTTACGGGATGATAATAATTAGATAATAATTAATAAACTCATTGATTTTATTACTGTTTAAAATAATCATCATATCATGATCACTTGGTTCAACATAAAGGTATTTTAATTACATGAAATGGATTATTATGCTTTTGGTAGTATAATAATAATGATTATAATGATTAAAGATGTGTTTAGCAACCAGGTCAAGTTCACCCTATCCAGCTAACACAGAGTTCAGATAAACAATAACTGCATCACATGTTTTTGACGCATGAGCACGCTTTCTTCCGGGAAGAGTGGGAGTGGTCCTGAGAGCTTTTGGTATAACTAACCATCACAGATTCAACTTCAGTTCTGGAACAAAACATCATCCTGAGGACCCAGGGACAGCCACCCTGACCCTCTGCCTGCTGTTCTAGTCACGCCGACCAGAATAGCCAAAGTATAAACGTAACTGTAAACCAGCTAACGAAGACTCTACCAGAGTCATTCATTTCTGAAGTTAAGTTAAAGACGAGAATCATCTGCCAAACGCTTCATACACCGTGTACTCTGGACAACTCTGGACCAGAGGATCGGACACTTGCGTCTCCTCTACCAGCCGAAGTGTCATCTTGGATGAATCACCATCCTCCTGATCTCCGGATCCACAAGAGGGTCCTGTTTGGGTGGGGTAGAACACGAGAATGTGTTTGATGCTGTTTCTCTCAAAATAACTCAGTTATCTGCAAAACATCATTTCCACCCAGAACGCTTTCATTCTCTCTGAAAGAAACCTTCTGAGAACTACATTCATGCATCCAAAACTCACCATTCTCATTTTAGCTCCATTCAGTCACAGGTTTGCTTTTAAACAAGTTTAATATCAAAACTGTTAAAGATTGTCATTAAAATGGCCATCCATGAATTGTCATTTTATAATTGTCGTTTCAAGTCTTTCAGTTTAAAATTGTTATTAATAAAATTTCTTCATTTTTAAACTTGCCTCATTATTGAAACGAAACACAGAAAAGGGTTGCATTTCCATTTATCGAATGAAAAGAATCTTACTGAATCTTCTGTTTAATAAATAAACTTTTGCTATTAATTTAAGTATCTTAAATTAAGTATTAATCCGTAGATTAATCATAGACCAAGCTCATTGGTGTATGATCTTCTATCGCTTATATTAATATTTTATATTGACATATGATAGAAGTTTCATATATTAACTAGTTTGTGTCATCCTAGGTCTAACATTGAATAGCACAGTGTTATAGCTGTGTGTGTGAGGTTTCACTCTATGACACCATACTTATGAGAGCACCATGTGAGCACCAGTATGTGTACACGTGCTTGTTTATGTAAGGTTTCTCTATAGGAGCGTCCATTAGAGAGTGTGAGGGGCCACAGATCTGCCCCCTAAAGATGTGAAGGAGATGGAGGGAGCTCCAAGTCCCAGAGATCCAGGACCTGCCCCAGAGCACAGGAACTCAAGGGAGACTGCGACCAGAAAAGCCCCCGCTCCCCATGAGAGGCGCAGAGGATCGCCCCGGGGGGCCACAACCAGCAGCCGGCAGAGTCCAGGGAGATATCAGCGGCAAGCCCACAGGCCCACCCGGAGCCTCCCACCCCCTATCCGGCCGAGCCCGGGACCCAATGACCCGGGACCTAGGGCGACCACCCCCGCTGGGGACCCAGCAGAGCCCAGGGACCCAGACTCCACCAGGCAGCCACCGGGATTGGTCAGGCAGACGCCAAAAATCTTAAACTCCCTGACCCAGGAGCCACGACCCAGGCAGACCAAGGCACCCCACTTCACACCAGGTGTGGCAGGGGGAGGGGAGACGAAGATCTATATCATCACAAGAAGTCCCAGGAGAAGGGAGGAGTCAAAGGCCCCACCTGACATATACAGTCATACACAAACACAGTCACACACTCCCTCCCTCATGCTCACACATACACATACAACCAAAGACTTGCAAAAATGCACGCCGGACACCCACTCATGCTCCCCACACACACCCTATTCACTCTGGTCCCGGTACTGCTGCACATGGGGTACAACCATTACCGGTTCCAAGAGTTTGACCCTTTCTGCTGGGGTGCTGATGAGCAGGCTCCCCCGCCCAACGCTGAGCAAAGCAACCCACCACCCCAGACCCCAACCAGACGGCCAGATCTCCCTCCTAGCCTCCAGCCCCAGGAAGCCAAGCAAAAACAGTGTGCTAAGACCCCTAGTCTCTCTCCGCCTGCTCCATTATGGTGTTAGTGAGTGTTGATGAGGTGGTGGTGGTTTCAGGGGAAAGCCTCCGGTCTTGATGGTACCTCTGTGACACAGACTAAAACAAGTGGGTGTAAAGTGGATTGATGGACAGAAGGTTTCAGTTGGGGTATGGATTGAAGAAATCACTACAAACCAAGAGTTAATGCCCTTTCACAATTTGAAAAGGAAGGCCTTAACAAGAATATGTAAAAAAAAAAAAGACCAATCCCAGTGCTTGTGGGCTGATTAGTGATGGCCAACCTCTGCAATATTCCAGAAACAGGGTGGGGAAAGAGTGAGGGAAAACCGATATAACATCATTCCAGATTCTGGCAGGATTCATATCAGTTATGTCCTCTTCACTGTCTTATGATGCAGACTCTTGAAGAAGGGGAACTCTGCTTTCCAAAATTGTTCAACTCATCCTGTAGGAAGACCACCCAGCCTCCCTCTACCTCCATGCTCATTTATATTACACTGTCCTCCATCTCTTTGCTTACTGTTACTCTTAATATGCTGGTCATCATCTCCATCTCACACTTTAGGTAAATTAATGATTTAAAACTCAACCAAACGTTTCTCAATAATATTTTGGGGTTTGTGATTTATTTTGTTTGGTTTTATTCAAATGCTACAGTAAACAATGGTTATTATTATTTTATTTCTCGTCTCTCCAGGAAGCTCCACAGCCCCACCAACTTCCTCCTCCTCTCTCTGGCGGTCTCAGACTGCATGGTGGGGTTCCTCATTTCCTTTCAAATCATCCTCATAGATGGCTGCTGGTATCTCGGGGACCTCATGTGTGCAATGTACCTTGTTTATGATTATATTGCTGCTTCTACTTCAATAGGAACCATGGTGCTCATCTCAGTTGACCGCTATGTGGCCATTTGTTACCCCTTTTTTTACTTCAGCAAAGTGACTGCAGAAAGAACAAAGATGTGTATTTTACTGTGTTGGATGTGTTTTATTCTCTATCAGACTCTTCTGCTGAAGGAAAATCTGCAAAACCCTGGTAGATATAAAACCTGCTCTGGAGAGTGTGTGGTTTTTCTTAACTACTTTGAGGGATTTCTTGATCTGTTTTTCTCCTTTATTGGACCCATTACTGTCATTATAGTTTTATATTCAAGAGTGTTTGTGGTGGCTGTGTCTCAGGCTCGTTCCATGCGCTCTCAGGTTGCAGCTGTCACTCTTCATGGTTCAGTGAGATTTAAAGCTAAGAAGTCTGAGATGAAGGCAGCCATGATTCTTGGTGTTGTTGTTGTTGTGTTTCTTTTATGTACCTGTCCATATTTCTGTCTTACACTTACAACACAAGATACTGGAGTCAGTGCTTCATCTGTGACTTTTCTCTTGTTCTATTTTAATTCCACTCTAAACCCTCTGATCTATGTCCTGTTTTACCCCTGGTTCAGGAAATCCGTTAAATTAATTCTTACTCTCCGGATCCTGGAGCCTGGCTCATGTGACACCAATGTTGTGTGAGAAGAGAAAATTAACTTCTCACTCAGAAATGTTAAGGACAAGGGCAAGCCAGTTTCATGAACCCTAAAAAATGTATGGTATTCCTTCTGCTGTTTTTTGATGCCAAATAGTAAAAAATACTTTGTAAAAATGTGAGATGCTCTTCGTTTTCATATTGCTTCATAAATATATCAACAAGACTTAAAAGGGAAAAGTTAAACAACGCAGCAAAGTTTGCAGTAATAATACATGATATTAATTGATTGTTTTTCAAAAAATGTTGCTCATTTCACAAAATGTGCGATACAGATCATTTTGCACTGCTGTTTTTGGTGAGTTTCTGCAAATAAAATCAAATGTATGAATATGACATAGTAGCATTAAAATTTTATGTTGGAAAATATCGGTCTTTGTACTGGTTTAATGACCCAACCTTTGCATACAATGCACATATTTGACATCAATTTCTTCAGCTTCCTTTCCTCTTTCTCAAAATAATCTGAAAATCTGAAGTTTAGCTTTTCAGATATTTTAGTTTTATTTGGCACAACTTGTGGATATGTAGGAATCTGCCCTGTATAGTGAGACTTAAATAGAATAGACTTTATTGATCTCACAGTGGAGAAATGTACTTGTTAAGGCAGCATAGACTTAGAGAAAAACAATACAAGTAAATACACAGAGGCAGTAGGTTATTATTGTAACCTTCAGCAATTAAGGTAGTGAATAAAAATAGATAATTGATTTTCCAAAAAGAAACAGCATAGAGGACACAAACATCTACCAGGGTTTTGCAGATTTTCCTCCAGGAGAAGAGGCTGCATCCAGGTGTTGCACATATAGCACTGATGTTAGTGTATCAGGACAATGTCAGTTACAGCTCAAGCATGTGGGTGTCAGGATCAGTGGAGAAGAACAGGAGAGAAAGAGGCTGTAGCATGTCAGTGAACCCAAATGCAGAATTCAGAGCGCTGGATGAAAACAGACAGGTGATTTAATCTAGGAGCTATGAGCAGTTCACCGAAGGAATCGGGAATGCTAATAGGTCTAGCGGGAATAGTAACAGGAAAGGAATTACTTTTGTAGTCCCGGTTTAAGGGGGGCAGCAAGCTGCTGCATGATGACAGATGTTCGTAAAAAAAAATCTTAATGAAACCTCCTGAAGAAAGTAACTCTACGACCTTCTTTCTTTTTTATTAGTATAAAACACGATTAGTGAGTCCACATCCAGACAGCATTATCCTCTATTCTGTGTCATGATCTCCAGCAGCTGGGATGTTTGTGAACACAAAGTTTTTTTTTTTTTTTTTTCCCCAACATACCCACATTTAACTGAAACACACTCCTCTTGTTTTGGCATTTTATTTCTTGTGCTTGCTCAATGTATTTCTGTTTGGGTGCCATCTATGCAGCTCCATATGGATCTACCTGCTGTCGGAGCATTTAACCACTGGTTGGTCAGATGCTGCTGCTATCAGTCAGGAAGGTGCACGGTGTGGAATAACTTGTCACTGTTTTCCTTTCCTGCATGGACTGAAGGTGCTGTACACGCAGCATGTCTCACGGCAGTCATGCACCTTGTCTGCAAAATGTGGCCCCTAATGGAGCACGAGTCTGACATATCGGGAGGGGAGGCGCTGGGTGGATGTGGATGGCTGATGCTTGAGGACGGACAGATATATTATTAGAAATCTCGGAAATTTGGATTAATAAATGACCAGAAAAACTCTAAATCAGAAGTGGCTGTACCGGTCCTCTTAAAGCAATGGGTGAAAGGCTGGGCATTCCCACAGCCTGGGGGATCTCCGACAGGTGGGGTGGGGGGAAGGCCCTACACTGCACTAGAACTTATTGGACGTTCTGGTAGTCTCCAGAATTCACAGCTGGCCAGTCCGCCACTGTTGTAACATCATATTAGTTCAATAAACTGGCACTGAAGGCCCAGTTACCAAATATATGCTAAAATCATGCTATCATGATCTTTATTGTTTGGATTTAAATGGTAAATGACTACAGCTGAATGAATAACTGAGCCAACAACAGAACTATAAAAAGAGTCAGATGAGAATTAACTCCAAAAGACCTCAGCCTCCTCAGGAGGTGGAGGCAGCTTTGGCGCTTTTCATACAGAGCATCAGTATTGTGGGACAGTTCAGTTTACTCAGGTACTTAAAGGTATTCACCACCTTGACGTCTGCACTCTGAATGTTTGCTAGTTAACAGTGCTGGGAGTAAAGGCATTTAAATATAACAGCGTTACTAACTGCATTCTGTTTTAGGTAACAAAGTAATAAAAATAATTACTTTTTCCATAGTTGCAATACTCTTACTGTGCAAGTGGTGCTACACTCCGTTACTATAATGTGATTGAATGAAGCGCAGCAGGGCTGTCAGGCAATCTGACAGCCACAACAGTGATGACTCAGTCATGCACGAGCACTCGGAGCCCGCTCCATCTTGGACGAGCCAGAGTGAGTGACTCAGACTCACCCCATCCTATCCCGATCCCGTAAGAAACAGCAAACAGGGAACCTGTTTCCCCCACGAGCCACAGCCTCAGTGCATGCCCTTGATCACTGTTGTATGCAGGGAGGGAGATCAAGGTCATGAAGAGCACACACACCTCCTTCAGGAGGTACCTTGCTAGGCTGGACCACCAATCCAAAGGCAGGGGATGGGGCAGGTTTTCACAGCATCTGTCTGCATTCCTTCGTGGAGGTTTTTTCTTCTCGTAGCTCAAGGCTACCAGCGTGCCAGATTCAGATGAGAATTGCTTTGGGGCAGGCAGAAATCATTTTACTTCTTGTTTTTAAGTCACTCTATCTTTATGTGCCTCTGTACTTGACTCAGCTGGTTCAGCCCTACGTACCTGGTCAAATTCGGTCAGCAGACCACCACCTGTTACAGGTCCCAAGTGTTCAGGTGAGGACACGAGGAGAACGAGCGTTCTCAATCTGTGCGCCTCGCTGGGACGTAATTTTGGAGGGGGACGGGTGGGACATGTCCCCCCCACTTTTTCAAAAGGCAGTTTTGGTCCCCTGCACTTTTTTCCGTCCAAAAACAACATTACGCTCCATTAAATGGATTTGGTTGAGCACTAGGACCGACACGGAAACCGGTTTCCTATTAGACCCGCCCAAAAGCTAATCTAATGGCTCTGCTGATACTTGCTAACGTATTATTGGCTGTTGCTGCTGTCACTCAAGTTGTAAACAGTCAGAACGTGCTCACGTTGTTTTGCTAGTTTGGAGCCGCTAGGGAACACCGGTACTGAGTCACATCGTCAACTAGACGCTGTGTAATATCAGAGCTCAGCTCAGCTTCCATTACATAACATTTGAATAAGTGTTCATTTGTGAGTCTTTGGTAGTTAGGCACGGCCAGGAGGCAGCATGTCAAGAAAATGAAAAGTGGATATAAGAGACTTCTTTCAAAGTCAAAACGTAAGTTGGAACATGTGACACCCCTGCATTAAGCTCAGACTCACCTCCTCCTTCACAAACATACTCAAAACTAACTTTTACAAACTCATCTCCTCCACATAACTGACTCCTCAGACACAATTTATTCATATTATTATAATAATTATTTTTTTATTATTACTATTATCATCATAATTATTATTACTAGTAGTAGTAGTAGTAGAAGTGTAACTTCAAAACTCTTATCATTTAACTTTATTGTAAACTTATCTATTGCAATGTATATGTTCACATTAAAAAGCTCTGAAAAATGAACAGTATCATCATCGTCAACAGATTTTTTTAAGCTTAATGTCAAAGATGTACACTTTTCATTAGATTTATCTTATTTTTTCCATTTATTTTTTGTGTGTTGAAATGCAACAACTGTTTAAACACTTTTAAGGGAAAAAACATATTTAATATGTTTTTATACACTCAAATGTTAGGGTGATGATCATGTGTAAAACATTAGTTCAGCATGTCCTCTAACACAGCAAATGAACAAATGGCCAGATCTCAGGAGGGACCGTTTATGTATAAATAATTTTTATACTTTTGACTAGGCCTGGGAATGTAACAAATTTTGCTGGACGATATTTTGTCCAACAAATTGTTGATGATAAACGATATCATTGTCAACATTATCTAGACCAAAATAACCACTAATATAATGTTAATATATCATAATAATGCAAGTACACCCTTTAAAATGCAACAAATAAACCTTCATTTAACATTGAAATGTCCAGAACCAGAACTTCTAAATGAATAAAAATAACAAACAAAAATTTAATAAAAAAGGAATCTCACTCCCTGTTAGAAAATGTTGCACCAAAAACAAAAAAGACCCAAAAACAATAAATACAATGGCCTATCCATTGTCAACAGCCAAAACTGCACTTCAATAATGATAATAAATAAAAATAATAATAGAGTTGTACATTTTTTAACTTTGATATATATATATATATTGAGGATGGAAAAATTATTGAGATGGGCACGTGACGTGTCAAGGGGTCTTTACATAACACCCCCCACCCCAAATCCGCACAAGCCTGCTGTGTCCCCCCCACTTCTGAAATCAAAATTTCGTCCCTGGCGCCTCGTCTCTGGAACCAACTTCCTCTACCAGTGAGAATGCCCCCCCCCCCCCCCCCCCTCTGATTTTAAATCACGCCTGAAGGTTCATTTTTATTACTTGGCTTTTACTTCAGCCTAGTTAGCCTTGTATTATGCCTCTGTTTTATTTTTATTGTTGATTTTATAGTAGTTACTGTACTACTTTTATTACTTTCTCCCCGTGTGTTTATTTTTATGCTTTTTATTGTGCAGAACTTTGGTTGACCTCGGCCATGTAGAAATGTGCTTTATAAATAAAATGGAATGAATGGAATTTCCTCTCTGCCTTCAGTTCTTAACTGGTCTTCAGTCACCCAGTAAATACGGCTATTGGGTTTAAACTTGCCCATACCATGTACCGACTTTCTCCGAGATCACATCCATTTTGCACGCCAACACCGGGATCGCAGCTAGTACCTTTAGCTTGTGATTCACCTCGAGTAGCTTTTCAGTCTGAGTGGTCTCCACACGGCTGAGACTATCCGTGGGTATGGGTGGCACTCCAATCGCCCCCAAATTCCTAATTTCCAAAAATACCAGAAATTATCCCACTCCAATTAAAAGAAATCCAGTAATTATCAGGCCAAAAATCCATCGATATCCTCCACGGACAAATGGAAAAGGCATATAATATTCCACTCCTTCCAGGAATCCAAAATTTGCCCCACTGGGTGCGTTGGACAAGCTGGAGACTCCCGCTCTGTTCTATTGTTGAAAAAAATCTTGCCAATCACGTTGAATGACCAATTGACCAAATCCATGATTGAAGAAGAATTTAGTTTTCAGGAGGAATGCAGAGAAGCACTCTGTAGACAGACAGGACAAGAGCCTTGGGAAAAGATAAAAGAAAAGAAAAGAAAAGAGAAGTATCTGTACTCTCCGAGTGCCAGAAGTCAGGTTCCTAGTAGAAATTAACATTCCAGGTATCTATAAGAACATTCTTACTGAAGGTATCTATAAGAACATTCTTACTGAACGAACATTTCAAATTTTTTAAATGTTTATTCTAAAACCTATTTGTTCAGTTAAAAAATGTTTTTGACGTTATACATACAGTATACTTAACATAAAAGTAACATCACAGTAACTTTGCTAGGTAACCAATTACTTTTACAATGTGGTAACTGAGTTACTAACTCAATTACTCTTTGGAAAAACTAATTTGTAACTATAACTGATTACTTTTTTATGCAAGATGCCCAACACTGCTGGTGAGTGACTGAGGAGGATTGTCTCTCTAGAAGTCAATCACCATTTCCTTTGTCTCACTGGTGTTCAAGCGTAGGTGGTTACGCTCACACCAGTCCACAAAGTCCATGAAGACTGACCTGTACTCCAGGTCATTCCCTTGAGACACACAGCTGACAATGGCTGAGTCATCAGAGAACTTCTGGAGATAACAGCTTTTGATGTAGTAAGTGAAGTCCGAGGTGTAGAAGGTGAAGAAAAAGAGTTAGAGCACCGTACCCTGTGGAGCTCCAGCACTACATACAACCACCTCAGACATTCAGTTTTGAAGCCTCACCCACTGTGACCTGTTGGAGAGGTAGTTGATGGTCCATACAGTCAGATGTCTGTCCACTCATGCCCTCTCCATTCTTTGCTGCAGTAGACGCAGATGAGTCTGGCAACCCCCCTTTTTAATCTTTCAAATTAGTTTTGTTATAACTTAAAGCAGGGGTCGGCAACCCGTGGCTCTGGAGCTGCATGCGGCTCTTTCATCCATCTGATGCGGCTCTCTGCTTGTAAACTAATTAAGGAATATTTAATTACAATGTATTTTATTCACATTTTCATCTGTAGCCATTTCTAAATTTAAAGATTGTCTGCGTAAACGTGAACAGGTCACCTGCTTGTGCGTAATCAAATGTCTCTATAGGAGCTTTCTGAGCTGGATATGAGATTCTGGACTGTTCCTCAGACAGGCTCGTGGATGCGTCGCAGTGTTGGAGACAGGAACAAGCGCTATTCAGCCAAATATTCATTATCAGGGAATATTTTTTAAGTGAAAAGTCTCTGAGAGACCGGGTTTAGAACACACAGAATCTTCCTGCATGGTTTTGGTTCTGCGACGCGCTCCAAGCCCCCGATCTATCTTCAGCTCACTGTCCACCTTACGCGTGCGCTGACAGGGAGCTGCGCTGGTTGGGTACGACCAACCACCGGATGGCCCAATGGTTGTTTTTGGTCCAAAAGTTGTACTTGCAGAGGTTTCTAGACAAATGTGAGAGAACCACTTTTTTTTTTATCGCCACAATATGTTTAAAGCTACACAATGTTAGACTATTAAGAAGCATGAAACAATGTTTTAGTCTAATTTGTTTTCCAAATTTGCTGTTGCAGCTTTAATCTGCCTTTGTGATATGCTAGCAGGCTAAAAAGGGACCGTGGAGGGTATCTAAATAATCCCAGGAAAGCTGCCTTTATATTAACAAAGCAAGTAGCACATTGACGTGGCTCAGCCACAACTGACATCCCCATCATTATGAAAGAGTACGCAAGCACCCTTCATTATTTTTCCCTGTTATTCTTTTTGATTGGTTGTTCATTATCTACTCTTTCATTTTAATAGGTGAGAAAGGCAGTGGTTTGTGAAACCAACACCAACAAAAGACATATCAAGATTTTATCCGTGACAACTGACAAAAGCAAGGATTGTTTTTTTTTTTTTTTTGATAAGGACATCTGGAGCATGATTGGCCGAATGCAGATAGGCTAACTTCTCTAGTCCCACCTCCACAAACTCCCAGGGCCAGGGAGGACAAATAAATACATTTGTTATGATTTGATAAAATCAGATACAACACTGGTCATCTTTAACAGATCTCCATCTCTCTCTCTCTAATGATGCAACCTGTTAATGAAAATGAACTCTGCTTTCCAAATTTGCACAATTCATCCTGCAGGAGGACCACCCGTCCTCCCTCTACCTCCATGCTCATTTATATTACACTATCCTCCATCTCTGTGCTTACTGTTATCCTCAATATGCTGGTTGTCATTTCCATCTCACACTTTAAGTAATGGAATATTTTATATCTTCTGGAAAATAGTTGTTTCTCAGTTTTTGTGTTTGCTGTGGTATTTTGTTTTTCAATATTTTGTTACATTAATGGGGTTAGTTTGTTCATGTGACAAATATGTTGCAGTGAGTTTCTTCTCTCGTCTCTCCAGGAAGCTCCACAGCCCCACCAACTTCCTGCTGCTCTCTCTGGCGGTCTCAGATTTCTTGGTGGGGTTCCTCATTTCCTTTCAAATCATACAAATGGATGGCTGCTGGTATCTTGGAGACGTGATGTGTGCAATGTACCTTGTGTTGGATTACTTCATAACTGCTGCCTCAATAGGAACCATGGTGCTCATCTCAGTTGACCGCTATGTGGCTGTTTGTTTTCCTTTTTATTACTTCAGCAAAGTGACTGCAGAAAGAACAAAGATGTGTATTTTACTGTGTTGGGCATCTGCTCTTCTTTTTCACTGCCTTCTGCTGAAGGAAAATCTGCAAAACCCTGGTAGATTTAAAACCTGCTATGGAGAGTGTGTGGTTTTTCTAAACTACTTCGAGGGATTTCTTGATCTGTTTTTCTCCTTTATTGGACCCATAACTGTCATTATAGTTTTATATTCAAGAGTGTTTGTGGTGGCTGTGTCTCAGGCTCGTTCCATGCGCTCTCAGGTTGCAGCTGTCACTCTTCATGGTTCAGTGAGATTTAAAGCTAAGAAGTCTGAGATGAAGGCAGCCATGATTCTTGGTGTTGTTGTTGTTGTGTTTCTTTTATGTACCTGTCCATATTTCTGTCTTGTACTTGCAGCCCAGGATGTTGAGGTCAGTGCTTCATCTGTGACTTTTCTCTTGTTCTATTTTAATTCCACTCTAAACCCTCTGATCTATGTCCTGTTTTACCCCTGGTTCAGGAAATCAGTTAAATTAATTCTTACTTTCCAGATTCTGAAGCCTGGCTCATGGGAGACCAATGTGGTGTGAAGAGAGTTGGATCATTGACTAACCAATCTAACAACAAAACAGTCCACTGTGAACACATGAAAGTTGAATTTAATGAAGTTATTGCTTTTGCCATTTTGATACCAGTTTTTTACAAAACCAGGAGTTAGGCACAATCCAGTCATGAAAATGAATGAAAGTCAATGACGGTCCTCACAGCAAATGCAAGACAAGAATATGCGTGTGCTTGTGTGTGTGCGTTCATGTGTCTGTGTGAGTGATTTGAATCTAACCTAGAATTATTTGTGAAAATAAATTTGTAAATACTAGATTAAGATTTGACTTGTGCTTCACATAAGTTTACTACACTGATTGTAATGAGCAAGTACATTACCCAAGTTTGTAAATAAAGAATGATATTGTTGTAAATGTAAATATATGTTATTTCTAATAAATCTTACAGAAAAGAAACCCAACCCAGCTTCTCGGGTGTTACATAGATTAAATAAAACTACAGTTACGTATGTAACTAAAATTCTATGAATTCTGGTTTTCACTACTTAGAAATTCCGAGCTGCCAACATTTAGTTCTCAGCCTAATGCTTTACTACACAAGTTTTGCTGTTTGGTTAAGATAATTTCTGTTTCACACCCTCTGGACACCTACACCCTCCCCCAAATGGTCACAACTCACCTTCAGTCTCCTAGCTCTAGTTTTCGGCTCTTCTCCAAAATTCCTCCCCAACGCTTGTTGTAATGCTTTTTAATTTACTGCATTGTTGTTTATTGTATGTTTGTTTTTGTCTGTGAAGCACTTTGTGAATTGTGTCTGTGAAAAGTGCTGTATAAATAAACTTCTTCTAAAAATGCTCAATGGAATACATTCTATCATTTTCCATTCAGTCTGCAGCTGTTTCTAAGCTGAAGGTGCTGCGTGGACAAAAGCTCTTCTTGACAAGTTTAGTGCAACCTATCAGTAGGTTTCTCTATATAGAGAATATATAGGATTCTATGCCATGCTTAATAAACGATGACCCTGTTGTTGAAGCATAGAGACAATTTAAACATGGTGGATAGCAGCTCTCAAGGACCAGAGCTGCCTACCCCTGCTCAGGGGTCATGCACACATTGTAGTCTAGAACAAAGGCAGTTTGGGGAAATTATTTTTTTTATGGTTTATTTGTGCATGTTTAATGATGAGGAGACAAGCTTCCACCTTACTCCGATGAAAAGATAACAAAAAATGTATACAACAGCTTGTAATCTTACAGGAGTTTTCCTCGGTTTAAATCAAACAATGCTATGGTAAGAAACCACGTTGCTCTACACCTCACGACGCTCGGCTGGACGTAACAGCCCCACCACGTATGTCTGCTTTTTTTCTTAAAGTGACAGTAACCTATTTTCTGCCCTACATGAATTGACCAAAACAAGACTCATCCCTAGTTAAGACCATATGACACGTGTGGATAGTGCTATTTCCAGTCTGGTGGTAGCCCCAGCTGATGCTGCCCATCCAAATGCTCGTTGTTTGTGTCCTCATTGCAGGGTCACATGAGCTCCTTACCATCATGAGCTCCTCTGGGGTCCACAGCATCACATGTGGTGTGCCCCAGGGTTCAGTTTTAGGCCCAGTACTTTTTAACCTCTATATGCCCTCTCTTGGCGTTGTCATCAGGAGACACAGGGTAAATGAATCAATGTCTTTGTATTTTTTGTATTTGTATTTATTTTTCCATCATAACAATACATATAAAACACATGAAAAGGAAAATAATTATCTAATAAAGATCATAATGATAATTATCACAAGTACAAATTCCTCTTGTAAATTAAACAGTTCCTTTAGATATAATTTATAAACTTTTTAAGCCTACCCATTAATTCATTACAAAACCCATTAATTCATTACAAAAAATCAACAGTGTCATAAATATCAAAAGCTTTTTGCTTTCCTTGACGTTGGATGTGCAACTACTAGTTTATCCGTTTAATTATAGATCCACTAGGATAAATACAATAAAGTTTATCTTTCACCAAATAGAATATTTACTAAGACATCACAATATAACTATAGAAACATTACTAGTCTTTGTGTGTGTGTGTGTGTGTGCGTGCGTGCGTGCGTGCGTGCGTGCGTGTGTGTGTGTGTGTGTGTGTGTGTGTGTGTGTGTGTGTGTGTGTGTGTGTGTGTGTGTGTGTGTGTGTGTGTGTGTGTGTGTGTGTGTGTGTGTGTGTGTGCCTGCTCTGTCTTCTCGATCCCCAGTGAGTCGTGCAGGATGGGTGCTTATACTGAGCCGGGATTCTCTGGAGGTTTCTTCCTGTTAAAAGGGAGTTTTCCTCTCCACTGTCGCTTTATGCTTGCTTAGTATGAGGATTGCTGTATAGTCACTGACACTTGTCAGTGACTTGATGCAATTTGCTGGGTTCCTTATATAGGAAAAATTATTTCTGATTGGCCTAATGAACTGTCCTGAATTGGAATGTTTATTATGTGAAGTGCCTTGAGACGACTCTTGTCGTGATTTGGCGCTATATAAATAAACTTGAATTGAATTGAATTGAATTAAATAAACTTGTAAACAATACAGTTATTACATGCATCATCCTAATTTCAACAAAATCAATCAAGAGGTATAAACACGAATAAAATAAAATCAATTGAAATCAATCAAGAGGTATAAACGTGTGACAAAACTAATTTTGGTGTACTTGGTAATTACGTAAGGCGTTATTTTTAAAACTCTTTTGGAATATTTTCAACGAGCATGAATTTTTTAAACTATCCTCGAGGCTATTCCATAAACTCACTCCTCTTACTGAGATACTTTTTTTTTAATTGGTTCTAATATTCTTTTTTCTTCTTTTTTTTTTTTTTTTTTGAAAATCCCAGTTCCTCTTAGACTATATCCTCCTTCCCTTTGTTCAAACATCCTTTGGAGATAAGGTGGAAGATGAGCCTGATATGCCTGATATCCTACAGCCAGGTCAATAATATCATAAAATTTTAGAATTTTTAAATGGAAAAAGATACGGTTTGTTGGTGCATAACAGTTAGCATGGGAAATTATTCAAACTACCTTTTTTTGAAATAAATATATAGGATAAATATTTGCTCTGTACTTATTTCCCCATATTTCAACACCATAGCTCAGATATGGTAAAATAAATGAGTTATAGAGTATCTGAAGGGATTTAATATTTAAAACAAATCTCATTCTACTCATAAGTCCTATATTTTTTTATATTTTTAATTTTATATCATCTATATGAGACTTCCAACCCAGTTTTCTATCTATAGTAATTCCTAAAAATGTATATATGTGTACTTGTTCAATTTCAATACCATTTATTTTTATAATAATTGCATTATTAATGTTCCTGTTTCCAAATATAATGTACTTTGTTTTGGTCACATTCATAGAAAGTTTATTCCTGTCAAACCATCCTTTTAACACTGCCAGTTCTTTTTCAACTAAATCAACAAGCTTGTTTAGGTCGTCGCCAGAACAGTAAAGGCTGGTGTCATCTGCATACAACAAACAATTTACTTTATCTAGAACCACACACACATCATTAATATACATTATGAATAATTTAGGTCCCAAAATAGACCCTTGTGGGACTCCATGAGTAATGAACTCCTTTCTTGAATCAACATTATTAATATGCACATACTGGTCTCTTTTACAAAGGTAGCAATTGCAACCCAATCATAAGCTGTGCTACAAATACCATTCAGAACTCATTCACACACACACACACACACACACACACACACACACACACACACACACACACACACACACACACACACACACACACACACACACACACACACACACACACACACACACACAAGCTCTCTCTCTCTCTCTCTCTCTCTCTCTCTCTCTCTCTCTCTCACACTCCTGTCTCTATAAAAAAACTCTGTGAACAGATGTTCGGGGCATTTAGCCTTGTGCATTATGCCACAGTTATAACTGTTTGACTTGTCTGCTCATTGTCTCTTTCTCTCTTCACTATAGGAAATTGGTTATTGATAAACATATTGATAAAATCCATGACATTATTTGGTCCTTCGAAAGCCGTGGTCCCATCACCTCATGACGCCAAGAACTGACGCCGGAGAACTGTCGACAACCTAATCTCCTCCAGCGCTGAGTTTTGCTGGGGGGTCGTGGGGTCTTGACGTTGCTAGGAGGAATGCGGATCCACGAACTCAAGCCCTGAGTGGAGAGATTCGGTGAGACAAGTTTGTTGTTTGTTATTTTGTTTTGTGGTACCGAGAGAAATCCTAGGTGACCAGAGGTTAAATTGGTTTTTGGGCATTTTGGCCAGAAGTATAAATGCTACTCTAATTTGGCCTGGCCTTTGGGCATTTAGCCTTGAATAGAAATGCTGATCCAGTTTTGATTTGGCTTGGTTTTGGGGCGTTTTAGCCAAAATTATAAACGCTACTCTGGTGTGATCAAGTTAATGGACCGGTGTGATAACTAAGAAGTTAAATTGGTTTTTGGGCATTTTGGCCAGAAGTATAAATGCTACTTAAATTTGGCCTGGCCTTTGGGCGTTTAGCCTTGAATAAGAAACGCTACTCTAGTTATTTTGTTGTTTGTTGTTTCATGTTGTCTCAGATGTTGTCTGCTTTAATCGTTGTTTGGATAAATGAGAGTGTATGGATTTGTTTTGTACGTGTGGTATCTACACTCAACAAAAATATAAACGCAACACCGTTGTTTCTGCTCCGATTTTTCATGAGATGGACTTAAAGATCTAAAATTCATTCCAGATACACAATATTACCATTACTCTTAAACATTGTTCACAAATCAGTCTAAATGTGTGATAGTGAGCACCTGTGCTTTGCTGAGATAATCCTTCCCACCTCACAGGTGTGCCACATCAAGATTTTGATCCGACATCATGAGTAGGGCACAGGTGTACCTTATACTGCCCACAATCAAAGGCCACCCTGGAATGCACAGGTTTTTTGCTCTATTGGGGCTCTGGGGACTCAGAACCGGTCAGTATCTGGTGTGACCACCATTTGCCTCATGCAGTGCAACACATCTTCTTTGCATAGAGTTTATCAGATAGTCAATTGTGGCCTGTGGAATGTTTGTCCACTCCTCTTCAATGGCTGTGCGAAATTGTTTGATATTTTGAACTCAACCCATGAACTCAACATCAGCCCATAATAGTTGAGAGCTTTTCAGTTTGGTTGTGCGTGTAATGGAATTTAGTATGTCCTATCCTTATGTGAATTTTCTAATCTTCATTTTGTTACTCTATTTCTAAAAAAGATACATAAATTGAGCTAATTTTTCCTGCCTAATAATCCAATAGAAATGTGAAAAGTAAAATATTTGAATATGTTGAGAATGTTAATATGTGTAAATTAGATATATTTCATCACGTATCCCATAAAAACGTATTGTTTCAATAATATTTGTTATGTGTTGTAGGTGCAGTGTGTTATCTGCAACCAACAACTGGCTTACAATAACACCTCATCAATGTTGAGGCACTTCCGTGCCAAGCATGAAGCTTCTGCTCGAGTTGCAGCCAGCAGTCAGGGTAAATGTCAGTATGTATGTGTTTTAATGTCACATTATCTGTTTGAATAACTTGTTTTATTTTATTGTAGACAGCAGAAAGGACAACATTGATGAAGCCCTGGTCAATATGATTGTTAAAGATTTGCAGCCTTTTAGCATTGTGGATGACAAATGGTTCAGAGCCTTTGTACGCCTTTTGGATCCCACATATGTCCTTCCATCACGGCTGGCACTGAAGAGCATGGTTGATTCCAGACATAAGAGGGAGAAAGAGAAGGCCAAGGAAATCATTCAGAAAGCCCCTGCAGTTAGTCTGACATCTGGCATGTGGACATCTATTCACATGGATGCCTACAGTCACTGCATTGCACATGCCCTGAATCTAGTAGTAAGGAAGGCCCTTGATTTGACCCCTGGTCTTGAGGACATGAGGGGCAAGGCCAGAAAGGTTGCTGCCTACTTCAGGACCAGTACTTTGGCCAGAGAGAGGCTGCTTTTCCTACAGAGGCAGATGGAGGCAGTGGCCCCTGTCCATAAATTGATTCAGGAGGTGGACACAAGATGGAACAGCACTTTTGATATGTTGTCCAAGCTGTATGAGCTGCGTGAACCAGTTAGTACAGCTCTGGCGTCCTTACATACTGATGTGGCTCCCCTGACCTCTGCAGAATACGACGCCATCTCTGAATGCCTTGAGGTATTGTCAACCTTAAAAGAAGCAACTGTGGAGCTGTCAGCAGAGAAATCTGTGTCAGGGTCAAAAGTAATACCCTTAATTCGTATGCTGAGGCACAGCATCACCTCAAAGCAGAGGCAGGTGAGGCGTGTTGTGGCCAGCAAACTGTGCAGTAACATTGTGCAGCTCATGAACGAAAAGCTTAGCCACTACGAGACAGCCAGTCAACATTCTCTCGCCACTCTCCTGGACCCCAGATTCAAGGTGATGGGGTTCTGTAATGCTACAAATTCAGAGACTGCGGTAAAAAGACTGACCGCCAAATGTCCCACTCTGCTGCGAAACAGTAGCACAACCCTTGACCCACCACAGCCTGCAGCTTCCTCATCGGCAGAATCCTCAGGTAACAGCTTAAAGTTCTCATGCATATGGCGCCCTTTTCTGACACTTTGTTTTTGATTATTTCAGTGGCTGGCCTGTGGGATTTGCTGGACAGCCAGGTCTCAGAGAAAAGGAAGGTGTCCAGTGCCACAGCAAATGCCACAGTCGAGGTTCAGCGATACAAACATTCCAAGAGGGGAGGACCCTCTTAAATATTGGGCAAAACAGAAATGTGTACCCTAGTTTATACGTACTTGCCAAGGAGGTTTTGTGCATCCCAGCATCCTCTGTTCCCTATGAAAGGGGTTTTTCCAAAGCTGGGGAGGTTGTCAGCAAAAACAAAATAGGCTCAGTCCAGGAACTGTTGAACAAATTCTGTTTTTGAATAAAAATGACATTTGATCCCCTTATTGTCACCAAGCACAACCACCTGTTCACAACCCCCCTCACCAAAATCACCTTCACAAAGTCCCCGGGACTACAGATGGAAATCAGCCCTAGGCTACAATCTGGCCTGTTTACATTCATGTTGTCCCTACATGTATGTCCATTAACATGCACTGTCCCAAATAAACATTTCATCTCATGTATTCACACCAAGAAAAGTAATTTTATTATATTTAATGTAATGTTCAAATTCAAGATCCTTTTATTATATGATCCTGAGGAAGCTTTTGAACGCTTTATTTGTCTATAAAGTTCAATACACCATTCATTTTCAATAGAATTGACTGAAAACAATACAATGAAAAACAAACATTTACCAGCAGATGTCCTCACAGAGTTTTGAAGCATCGACCCTTGAACCTTTTTTCAATACAATTGGATTGTAAAGCTTTGATGGTTCAAAAGGCTTCACATCATCATCACTAGCGAGCGGGACTGGAGTTCCAGAATGCTGCCAGTCTGAGATGAGGGTGGAGGTTTGTCTGGGAACAAGAGCAGGAAGGTAAAAATGCTAATCTCCAATATTCAAAAACACTTCAAAATCTCAAAAGGTAAGAGCTCGAATCTAATAGGCGACGTGGCTGTTGGAAGGTACCAAGGTAGAGCAATCATCCAGCGAAGTGAAATTGTCTCTCAGCTGCTTAAATACTCCCTGGCCGGCTGATGAGCAGACAGTCTGCAGCTTGGCCACCTCCGGACACGCCCACCTGCAGAAGGAAACTCAAAACCAAAGAGTGATGGCAGAAACAACCCAGACCGTGACAGACATGGTGTAATACATTTCCATCTGAATTACACAATTGTGAATATTCCAGACATGCCTTGTCTTGATCTGAGTATAATGTTCCTACTAGTACCAGGATGCTTGAATAATGTGTCACCTGTTCCCAATCTCAATCATGAACACGGTCAGTGTTGTCACCCTGTGTGCAGAAAGAGTATCTCTGATCTATTATGGAGTCAGCCGGGCACCTTACGATCAAAAGTTCTGTTGAAAGGAAAAACCTTTTGTTGTGGTTTTGGTTTAAACTTGTAATTTTTCAGGATCTTCCACATTTGTTCTATAGAATTGCAGACAATTTTAAACTAACCATAAAATTAAATACTTTAGGGGCAAGTACTTTGTTTAAATCATAAACATGAAATTCAGAGACATGGAAATAGTAAAAAAGCTAAGGAAAATTTGAGTATGGGCAAGTATAAAGGACATTTCAATGTGAAGAAAACATTAGCAATAAAACCTGGTTAGCAGCACTGTATGCTAGACCTGCTAACAGGTAACCACTGAGGCTTCAAAGTCAGGCTCTGGCTCATAAGACACCTTTAAAGGTGAAGTATGTAAGAACATAGAGAGAATTTTACAATGCGAAAATCCCAAGAGTCTAATGTTTCAGTCATTTTGGAAGGAAGGTTATACTGAAGCAAGTTTTGTTTTTTTTCCTTTCAAAACAAAGGAAGGAGGGACGTAACTACTGTTTACCATCAGTGAGTTTGGGGTTGCCATGTCTCCTTTGAGCTAATACTGCAGCACAGACTATTGTAATTTGATGTTGGCCGGCAAAAAGCTCCAGATTTGTTTAAAGTGATTGCCGCAACCAAATTAACAGAATACCATTTTAACTTCATTTCTACATATTGCACCTTTAATCTTTTTTTAAATTTAGAATAATCTCTTTTTTAACGTGATAGCTTAAAGCAGTGTTGCCCACATGTTTTTATCTTAAGGACCCCCTTGCCCGTGCCGAAGACAAGCCAGGACCCCCGACCCCAACTCCTACATGCATATACACATTAAATGTGATCATTACAAACTTTATACAAACATAAAGAGTGAGAACTTTTATACAAAGTTTTGATCATACTGTAGGGTGTGTTATTTGGATTTTATAAATGTAATTTTTACAGATAAAATCTTGTTAACCTCACAACCTCTGTGCAGGCAAAACTGTGGGGACCCCTTTGTGAGTCCTGGACCCCAGTTTGGGAACCACTGCCTTAAAGTCAAATTAACATGTTAAAAAAATCTAATATCACATGGAAATATGCACAGAACACGCCTTTCACATGTGAAAATGTGATGTTTAATATACAAACATCTCTGAATTGTGGAGTTAGCATGTTCTGTGTGGAGTTAGCATGTTCTCCTCATGCACGCATGGGTTTCCTCCATGTGCTCAAATTTCCACCCACAGACCAAAAATCATTCATGTGAAGTTGATTACCTGTGTTTTTTCATCCACGTCAAGTCGCTTCTAATATACGTAAATAAATAAGTCTGCACAAGACTGCAGGGGGTCCCAACCACTTTGTGCTGAGGTTGTGAGGTTAACAAGATTTTATTTTGGGATTATAAAATCCCAATAACGCACTCTACATGTATAAATAAACATGATGAAACATAAAATATAAAGTTACAGAATAACTGTACACATATGATTTAATTTGATGATCAACAAAAGGGGCCGCACAGTGGGGCAGTGGTTAGAGCTGTTGCCTTGCAGCAAGAAGGTCCTGGGTTCGCTTCCCGGCCTGGGATCTTTCTGCATGGAGTTTGCATGTTCTTGCTGTGCATGCATGGGTTCTCTCCGGGTACTCCGGCTTCCTCCCACAGTCCAAAAACATGACTGTTAGGTTGGTTGGTCTGTCTAAATTGTCCTTAGGTGTGTGTGTGGGTGATTGTTTGTCCTGTGTGTCTCTGTGTTACCCTGCGATGGGCTGGCTCTCTGTCCAGGGTGTACCCTGCCTGGTTGCCCATTGACTGCTGGAGAAAGGCACCAGCCCCCACCCTCCACCCCCCGCGACCCCACCGAACAAGCGGGTTCAGAAAATGGATGGATCTACAAAAGGTTTATGTCACATGAATGACGATTAAGTATCTGAAGTGTAAAAATGAGCTTGATAGATTTTCTGAACCAGGGATAAAAAAAGACGTAGAAAACTGGGTTTAGACAAGAGTTGACGTAGAACAAACTGACTACAAAATGTTGCGCGGTTTGTTGACCTGCGAGGGAAACGCAGTAAAAAGGACACATGCACATTAAAAACACAATCACAACCACACCAAGAGTTTTTGCTGCTTTTATCTGAGAAGTCTTAGCAAATGCAGAACTTTTGACCGCAGAGGCTCCAACGTGCAAGCGCATGGCTCGAGACTGTGACACGGCTACTATAAACACTCTGACATACAAAACAACAATCACAGTGATGGGAAGAATGAAGGAGAATATCAGATCAGTATATGTGGCTGTGTTGTTGACGACAAACACACACTCTCCGACGCAGGAGTTGAACCTGCCAGGTTGTTGTAGGTTGTCTTTCAGAATCAGAATTTGGAATATCCAAGAGCAGATCCAACACAGACAGATACAGAGTCTCGCTCTGTCTGCCGTCACGTGGGTGGAGTAATGCAAGGGGTAGCAAATAGCCACGTAACGATCAACAGATATGAGCACCATGGTTCCTATTGATGCAGAAGTTATAAAATAGGCCAAATACTGATACTGAGTACACACGATGTCACCAAAGTACCAGCAGCCATCTATAAGCAAAATCTGAAAAAACAGCAAAAGTCCAACCAAAAAGTCTGAGACAGCCAGAGAAAGGAGGAGGAGGTTAGTGGGAGTGTGGAGCTGCCTGTAGAGGAACAGAAATATATTTTATCACTGTTCTTTATGTTCCTTACTAAGGACCAAACAAAGCAGATGTAGGTCTGAAAACACCATCTGGGTACCTGAAGTGTGAGAGCGAGATGATGACCAGCAGGTTGAGAAGTGCAGTCAAACCAGAGAGGCAGGAAAGCACCACGTAATAAAGCATAAGCTCAGTGTGAGGGAGCTCCAGCCTCCTGCAGGACGAGTTCAAAAGCTGTGGAAAACAGAGTTCACCTTCCTCCATCATTGCAGCTGAACTATGATGCCTCTTCATCTCATCCAGCTAAATAATCTCCACCCTCCTCTCCTGTCTCCACGTGAGTCAGCTGCATCTTCTCCACAGAGGCTGGTTTACGGGGATCTCCTGCTCATCATCATTGAATGTTTGCCATCAACAGGCCTTAACCTTCCTGCACCACAGGATGTTTACCACCATTACAAATCGGGGGGAAAAAAGAAACTTCACAACCAGAAATGATGGTTTGTTAATACTGTGTATACTTTGTAAAGCCACCTAGCTGCATTTAAAGCACATCTAGATCCTGAAACGTTTGCTCATTCTTTAGTAGAGGTTACACATGAATATTCTTTGATAAGCGATTTGATGTTTAGGGTGATACTTCTCCACCACATGTAGTTCGTTGCATTTACGCCCAGATGCTCAGCTTTGGTCTTGTCTGACCAGAACACCTGTTCTCCATGTCTGCGGTGCCTGTGCCATGGCTCCTGGCACACTGCAAACATGACTTTTAGTAACTTTCAGTCAACCATGTCTTTCTGTCATGTCACTTCCATACTGGCCAGATTTATGGAGTACAAGAATTACAGTTGTCCTTAACGTTTTGTAAGTGGTCACAATTAATAAACTGTCAATAAAATACGAAAGGTATCCAACAAAGTATAATGTTCCGTTCATTCCAGTCATTAATATTGTTGGATCTTTAATATCCGATTGACTGTAATAGGTACTTTGGGTAGCCAGGGAACAAACACTTATTTTTTATTTGACACAGAAACAAAAATATGGTTTACAAATAACAATTTATTACTATTTTCTACAACTAATGACTATGCAGAATAACTGAAGGGAAATGATTATTCAAGATAATATCAAATGAAACAAAAATCAAACTCTCATGAAAGATGATCGTGGATTTTATCTCTCGTCTCTCGTCTCTCGTCTTCCTCTGCTTATCCGGGTCCGGGTCGCGGGGGCAGCATCCCAACTAGGGAGCTCCAGGCCGTCCTCTCCCCGGCCTTGTCCACCAGCTCCTCCGGCAGGACCCCAAGGCGTTCCCGGACCAGATTGGAGATGTAACCTCTCCAACGTGTCCTGGGTCGACCCGGGGGCCTTCTGCCGGCAGGACATGCCCGAAACACCTCCCCGGGGAGGCGTCCAGGAGGCATCCTGACCAGATGCCCAAACCACCTCAACTGGCTCCTTTCGATCCGGAGGAGCAGCGGTTCTACTCCGAGTCCCTCCCGAATGTCCAAGCTCCTCACCCTATCTCTAAGGCTGAGCCCGGCCACCCTACGGAGGAAGCTCATTTCGGCCGCTTGTATCCGCGATCTCGTTCTTTCGGTCATTACCCAAAGCTCATGACCATAGGTGAGGATTGGGACGTAGATCGACCGGTAAATCGAGAGCCTGGCTTTCTGGCTCAGCTCCCTCTTCCCCACGACAGATCGGCTCAGCGTCCGCATCACTGCAGACGCCGAACCAATCCGCCTGTCGATCTCCCGATCCCTCCTACCCTCACTCGTGAACAAGACCCCGAGATACTTAAACTCCTCCACTTGAGGTAGGACCTCTCCCCCGACCCGGAGGTGGCAAGCCACCCTTTTCCGGTCGAGAACCATGGTCTCAGATTTGGAGGTGCTGATCCTCATCCCAGCCGCTTCACATTCGGCCGCGAACCTACCCAGCAAGAGCTGAAGGTCAGAGCTGGATGAAGCTAGGAGGACCACATCATCCGCAAAAAGCAGAGACGAGATTCTCCTGCCACCAAACTCGACACACTCCACACCACGGCTGCGCCTAGAAATTCTGTCCATAAAAGTGATGAACAGAACCGGTGACAAAGGGCAGCCCTGGCGGAGTCCAACCCTCACTGGGAACAGGTCCGACTTACTACCGGCTATGCGGACCAAACTCACGCTCCTCTGGTAAAGGGACTGAATGGCCCTTAACAGAAAGCCACCCACCCCATACTCCTGGAGCGTCCCCCACAGGGTGCCCCTGGGGACACGGTCATAAGCCTTCTCCAAATCCACAAAGCACATGTGGATTGGTTGGGCAAACTCCCATGCCCCCTCCATCACCCTTGCAAGGGTATAGAGCTGGTCCACAGTTCCACGGCCAGGACGAAAACCACATTGCTCCTCCTCTATCTGAGATTCAACTATCGATCGGACCCTCCTCTCCAGTACCTTGGAGTAGACCTTTCCAGGGAGGCTGAGGAGTGTGATCCCCCTATAGTTGGAACACACCCTCAGGTCACCCTTCTTAAAGATGGGGACCACCACCCCGGTCTGCCACTCCCTAGGAACTGCCCCCGATGACCACGCAATGTTGTAGAGACGTGTCAACCATGACAGCCCTACAACATCCATAGCCTTGAGATACCCAGGACGAACCTCATCCGCCCCCGGGGCTCCGCCACTGTGTAGTTGTTTGACTACCTCAGCAACTTCTGCCCCCGAGATCGGACAGTCCATCCCCAGGCCTCCCAGCTCTGGTTCCTCCTCGGAATGCGCATTGGTGGGATTGAGGAGCTCCTCAAAGTATTCCTTCCACCGTCCGACTATAGCCTCAGTTGACGTCAGCAGCTCCCCATCCCCACTGTAAACAGTGTGAGCGAGTTGCTGCCTTCCTCTCCTGAGGCGCCGGACAGTTTGCCAGAACCTCTTTGGAGCCGATCGATAGTCTTTCTCCATGGCCTCACCAAACTCCTCCCACGCCCGAGATTTTGCCTCGGCAACTGCCACTGCTGCACCCCGCTTGGCTATCCAGTACCTGTCTGCTGCCTCCGGAGACCCACAGACCAGCCACGCCCTGTAGGCCTCCTTCTTCAGCCTGACGGCTCCCCGAACATCTGGTGTCCACCAGCGGGTACGGGGGTTGCCACCACGACTGGCACCGGCCACCTTACGACCACAGCTAGCAACAGCCGCCTCGACAATCGCAGAGTGGAACAAGGCCCACTCGGACTCAATGTCCCCCACTGCTCTCGGGACGTGGTCAAAGCTCTGCCGGAGGTGGGAGTTGAAGACCGTCTTGACAGGTTCTTCTGCCAGGCGTTCCCAGCAGACCCTCACTATGCGTTTGGGTCTGCCAGGTCTACGCGGCATGTTCCCTTGCCATCTGATCCAACTCACCACCAGGTGGTGATCAGTTGACAGCTCCGCCCCTCTCTTCACTCGGGTGTCCAAAACATACGGCCGCAGGTCAGATGACACGACTACAAAATCTATCATCGACCTGTGACCTAGGCTGCCCTGGTACCAAGTGTACTGGTGGGCATCCTTATGTTCGAACATGGTGTTCGTTATGGCCAAACTGCGGCTTGCACAGAAGTCCAATAACAAAACACCGCTCGAGTTCTGATCAGGTGGGCCGTTCCTCCCAATCACACCCCTCCAGGTCAAGCTGTCATTGCCCACGTGAGCATTGAAGTCCCCCAGCAGGACAATGGAGTCCCCTGATGGAGCACTATCTAGCACTCGTCCCAGGGACTCCAAAAAGGGTGGGTACTCTGAACTGATATTTGGCCCATAAGCACAAACAACAGTCAGGACCCGTTCCCCGACCCGAAGGCGCAAGGAAGCTACCCTCTTGTCCCCCGGGGTAAACCCCAACACACAGGCAGAGAGTCTCGGGGCTAACAAAAAGCCAACCCCAGCCCTCCGCCTCTCACCCGGAGCAACTCCAGCAAAGTAGAGTGTCCAACCCCTCTCCAGGTCTCGGGTTCCAGAGCCAATGCAATGTGTCGAGGTGAGTCCGACTATATCTAGCCGGTACCGCTCAACCTCTGCCACAAGCTCCGGCTCCTTCCCCGCCAGCGAGGTGACGTTCCATGTCCCAAAAACTAGTTTTCTTGTCCGGGGATTGGACCGCCAAGGCTCCCGCCTTGGTCTGCCACCCGATTCACATTGCACCGGACCCTTCATGTTCCTCCTGCGGGTGGTGGGTCCACAGTTGGACGAGCCCATGTATCCGGTTCGGGCTGGGCCCGGCCGGGCCCCATGGGCGAAAGCCCGGCCACCAGGCGTTCGCTCACGGGCCCCAACCCCAGGCCTGGCTCCAGGGTGGGACCCCGGTAACCCTCCGGGCCGGGTACTCCGACTCTTCGTTTTAACCGCCATGAAAGATCCTTCGAACCGTTCTTTGTCTCACCCTTCACCTAAGACCAATTTGTCATGGGAGACCCTACCAGGGGCATTAAGTGCCCCAGACAACATAGCTCCTAGGATCATTAGGGCACTCAAACTCCTCCACCACGATAAGGTGACGGTTCAAGGAGGAGCGTGGATTTTATCAAGAGTCTAATTAAGTGTTTTAGGAGAGATGTGAAATCTGGAATTACAAGAATAATCTGGTTGAATTTAGTGATGTTTGATTAATTATCAATTAATCATAACTGTTGAGAGGAGACTTGGGGCAGACTCATTGATAACATGATTCGAGCCTGGGCCAAGCTACTCTCTGTGAGAACCCCCCCACAGGGCTCCTCGGTGCCTCCACTTCAGGTGGAATCACCTTAGGAAAAACAGCAGGAAGTGCATTTTGAAAGGAAAGCTTCAGGTGGACATTATATACACCTGGGACATGTGGGAACTGTAACAAAAAAGTTAAAAGTTTAAAAGGAAAACTACAGCTGAGCCGAGACGCGCCTCGACTGGGGCGCGTCTGATTTGAACTGAGGAGCGGCGAGCAGCAGCCGAATTTCGTGAGTGATTCGCTTCGTGGCGCTTCTGCGGCCGGTGTGTCCCCGGCGTAAGGCTGGGATCAACTGACGACACCCGGTCGAACTAGCTACTAGCTAACCTGAAGCTAACCCAAAGCTAACGCGAGGTGGGAGCTAAGCTAACGGAGGTAGCAACCTAGCTACAACCGGAGTTAACTGTGCACAACACCAGAGCTTCTGAGTCAGAGATACGCCGGGCTGACCGCTGGGTAAAACCGGGTGGAACACAGAGGTCTCCCGAGAGCTCCACAAGCCGGCAGCCGCACAGCAGACAAGCGCCGCTGCGATCTGAGATGCACAGAGCTGCCGCTGGGGAGAACCAGGTGGAAAGGTTTCCATCCCAGAGCTCCACAAGCCGGCAGCCCGCGCAGCAGTCAGGAGCCACGATCAGAGATGCGCCGAGCTGCGGGGAGGTGAGAACCGGGTGGAAAACAGAGGTCTCCCGAGAGCTCCACAAGCCGATAGTCGGAACCCAGCTTCACCAACATGTTATATTTCAACCCATTTTCTAAAGTGCAGCATTATGTTAAATGCACTGGGTTTTACCCTATTACATTTAAATTTCATGGTTAAACAGTACATGTTAACATCTAAGCTCAGCTCGGCAGTGACCTAAAATACATAAATATAATTTTACTTACCGAAAAAAATGAAGTGGAGAATCCTTGGACGCTCTATTAGTGCAATTAATGCCACAGCAAGTCATTTTGTCCAACCATTGCACAAATAATATCCAAAAAAGAATACACAAACACAGAGACACAAAATCCCGGAACAGTTTCCAGGCCAGACCGAGGCTCTACTGAGGCCTTTCCACGGAGCTAGCTCTGTCACGTGGTCACGTGGGTCTGATGCTCATTAATTATACAGAATTTTAGGCTTTTAATACACTTAAACAGAAGAGTGAGAAAAAAATTCACCCCCCTCAGAGTTGTCATGAGTGTAAACTAGATAATTTAAACCAAAAACATGTTTTGGTACCAGGCTGTA